TAGGAACAACCCCAGGTTTCTTTTCAGCACTGTAGCCAGGCTGACAGAGAGTCACAGCTCTATTGAGCCAAGTATTCCCATAGCTCTCAGTAGTTACGACTTCTTGAGCTTCTTTAATGATAAAATTCTAGCTATTAGAGACAAAATTCACCAAGACCTGCCCTCAACTGGCACCAACTTATCTCTAAACTCAGGAACCTTAGAAACAGCTGTAAAACCAGATATATGTTTAGACTGTTTTGCTTCCCTCAATCTTTACCAACTAACTTCAATAATTTCTTCATCTAAACCATCAACCTGCCTCTTAGACCCCATCCATTAAACCTCTTCTGAAAAAGCCCAAACTTGATCCAGATGTTTTAGCCAACTATAGACCTATATCTTACCTTCCATTTCTCTCTAAGGTTCTGGAGAAAGCAGTTGCTAAACAGCTGTGTGACTTTCTACAGAGCAATAGTTTATTTGAGGATTTTCAGTCAGGATTTAGGGCTCATCATAGCACAGAGACAGCACTGGTGAAAATTACTAACAACCTCCTTATTGCATCAGACAAAGGACTTGTCTCTGTGCTGGTTTTATTAGATCTTAGTGCTGCATTTGATACCATTGACCATCAGATCCTATTGCAGAGACTGGAATATTTCATTGGCATTAAATGAACCGCTCTAAGCTGGTTTAAGCTGGTCTATTTATCAGATCGATTTCAGTTTGTACATGTTAATGATGAGTCCTCCATGCATGCCAAAGTTAGTCATGGAGTTCCACAAGGATCTGTCCTCGGACCAATCCTCTTCACTTTATATATGCTTCCTTAAACTTTCATTGTTATGCAGATGATACTCAATTATATCTATCGATCAAACCAGATGAAACTCATCAGTTAGCTAAACTTCAAATGTGCCTTCAGGATGTTAAAATCTGGATGACCTGTAATTTTCTAATGTTAAACTGATGTAGTTTACCTTGATGGCATCGCCCTGGCCTCCAGCATCCCTGAGAGGAATCTTGGAGTTATCTTTGATCAGGACATGTTGTTTAAGTCTCACATTAAGCAAATTTCAAGGACTGCCTTTTTTCACCTATGTAATATTGTGAAAATCAGGAACATCCTGTCTAAAAATGATGCAGAAAAACTAGTCCATGCATTTGTTACTTCTAGGCTGGATTACTGCAATTCCTTATTATCAGGCTGCTCGAAAAAGTCCATTAAGACTCTTCAGCTGATCCAGAATGCTGCAGCACGTGTTCTGACAGGAACCAGGAAAAGAGATCATATTTCTCCTGTCTTAGCTTCTTTGCATTGGTTTCCAGTAAAATCCAGAATAAAATTTAAAATCATTCTTCTTACCTACAAAGCTCTTAATGGTCAGGCACCATCTTATCTTAAAGATCTCATAGTACCTTACTACCCCACCAGAGCACTGCGCTCCCAGAATGCAGGGTTACTTGTGGTTTCTAGAGTCTCCAAAAGTAGACTAGGAGCCAGAGCGTTCAGCTATCAAGCTCCTCTCCTGTGGAACCAGGTTCCAGTTTGGGTTCAGGAGGCAGACACCATCTCCACATTTAAGAGTAGGCTTAAGACTTTCCTCTTTGATAAAGCTTATAGTTAGGGCTGGCTCAGGTGAGTCCTGAACCATCCCTTAGTTATGCTGCTATAGGCCTAGACTGCCGGGGGATTTCCCATGATGCTCTGAGCTCCTCTCTCCTCTACTTTCTCTCCCTCTGTATGCAACCTCATCCCATTATTGCATGTTACTAACACAACTTCTCCCCTTTCTGGTAGTCTTGTGCTTTCTCGTCCCTCTCCTCTCCCCTCCTATCACTTCCTGCAGGTTTTCTGGCTCTGGAGCTGTGGAGTCTGGATCTGTGGCTGATCTGTTGTTATTGTTATTATAATCATTAACACTACTATAAATATCTGTACCATTTTTCATTTAGTCTATAGCAACATCACCTTTACTGTCTGTACCTCTGTGTGTGTATATTGTGTAGGCTGCCTCTCTCTCTCTCCCCCCCCCCTTCACCCCAACCGGTCGAGGCAGATGGCCGCCCACCCTGAGCCATGGTTCTGCTCGAGGTTTCTGCCTCTTAAAAGGAAGTTTTTCCTTGCCTCTGTCGCCTAGTGCTTGCTCTTGGGCTTCTGTAAATAACATCACAGAGTACGGTCTAGACCTGCTCTTTTATGAAAAGCGCTGTGAGATAACTGTTGTTGTGATTTGGCGCTATATAAATAAAATTGAATTGAATTGAAATTAGCACAGAGTGGTTATAAAAAGCTCCAATGCTGAGTGAGCATCAGTGCTGGCTTGTTGAAGGTGTGTAACACCCGTAGATGCACGAGTTCTGTGTGACTGCGCCTGTAAGCATGTAGGATTTTTAAATTCCAAAACTACATTAACATTTCTATACCACCATACACAGAGGTATCAAGTAATAAGCAACGAAGAAAAGGGAAAACTATTTAAATCTTTACACATTTTAACTGTTTTAATTGCTTTGCTATTCTTCAGACCATATAATGCTTCAATATAATGTTTGATTTCTATTTTGAAATGTTGCATTTCTGGTTTCTTTTTAGACCATTGGTATATGTGAATGTAATATTTTCCATATAAGATAAAGATGTTCTAAATATTTAGCATAGTCTTTTAGAATCAACATCAGTCTTATCATAAAAGAATATATGTCTCTTTTTCATAAATGAATAGCTGAGCGAACGTCTTACAGAAATATTTTAAATCTAACCAAAACAATTTGGTACATATACAATCATAAAATAAATAACAAATGGTTTCAGGTTTCTTTGTAAAGGCAAAATGATGAGCAGAAAGGAACACATTCACATGAAATAAATGTACTTCATCGTACCTTGATTTGCTGCATGCCAGCTGCAATTTGAATAAATTGTCTGTTAGGACGGTTTGTTATTTCCATAGATACAAAAGCAAAGAGAGGGATGTGACTGGAAAGAGAAGGGGGGTAGTCTCATATTGAAAGACACAAATATGTCAAATTGTATGCTGTTTAACAGCAGATAACAATACACAAATTAGATTAAGTTCACTTGTCTTAAAGGGTTAATTCACCTATATTACAAAAACATTTTTTCTTCCAGTAGTGTACAGCCATGCACATTTTTTATCTGCCAACAATAAAGTTCCATAGATCTTCCAATTCTTTTGAACTACTTTTTACCAAAGAACTATGAAAGCTGTTGACATAGTTTTCTTTGGATAGTAACAGGGACTCTGCGAATAGATGTTTGCTGTGAGCACCATAAACAACATTTCATTCCCCTCCATCGTATTGGGGTAGATGCAGAAATCTCAAAACCAAAACTATATGGTTAGATGCCGCCAGAGGTAAGTGAGAAAATATATTGGGTTGTAATTTGGGTGAATCAACCTTTTAAGAACTGGTAATTGTATTGTTTATTAAATCTTTATTTGACCAGGTAGGTCCCATTGAGATTACAAAATCTCTTCTTTCTCAAAGGAGCCCTGGTCAAGACAGTAGCAATAAAGTCTTTCAAAAAGCATACATGCAAACAGTGAAAACACATAAAACAAACATAAAGCATCAACTCACAGAGCATTGTTTCAAACAACATACACACACGTTAAAACACATAAAACAAGTAAACATACACAGTAAACAAGAAAATAAAAGCTGGTAACATACTGCATAATGCAACTTAACTGGACTGTAACTGGCTTTTGTGTGTGAGATTGCATACTGAGCTTGTTAGCAGCTATTCTGTGAATTCACTTCATTTAACATAATAATAATAAAAGCTATTAATTAAACACTTAATATATTTACAGAAGTACTGCTAATTGATGCATGTAATCCAATATTATCCATTGTTTAAGGATGTTTTCAACAATAATTTAGTTATTGAAAGTTCCTTTTTGTGAAGTGTTTACTATGTAACCCAGGACAAGTTCTGAGAGACTGAATGAAAACTGGGTGGGAACTGTTGCTGTTCTTTCAACCAATAGGAACAAACTGAGACCTGCCCTGCAGTTTGAATTATTGAAGTGTGCTGCTCTGGATCAGCAGCTGCATTGGATTTGTTCCTTCTCTGGTTCAAGCTGGTCTGCTGATGAGTTCAAGTGCTGCCAGAAAAATGGAAAGACAGCATGAGTGAAACTTAGTATGAGAGAGTAAAAAATGACAGTACTTGAATAAATATGTTTACAAATAACTGAAATGTCTCCATTTTACCCTAAATTGCAAAAATTAGGGCAACAACATGAAGGCTTCACCTGATTTACAGCAGAACTGTCCCTCTTGGATACAGACATTTTGTTAAGTCCTCACAATAACTAAAGAAATTCACTGTGTGAAAATTCAGATTTCACAAGTAAATGTAAGAAGACAATATTCAAATTTCTTCACACCTTTATATAGGCCTAACTTCTGTTTCTGCTGTTTATTTTGGACGGAAGCTATTATTTACTTTAGTTGACTAATGTTATTGTGCCTTTTAGGGAAATTATTGTAAGGGAATATATCCATCAATCCAGAACAACCGACATAACTGTAAAGAAAAATATGAACCCTTGCTACAGATCTTAATAAAATCAGCTTTTGGAAAACATAAAATCCCCATTATTATTGTAAAATACCACGAATGCTTGTGTAGCCCAGACTTCCTAGGTATAATGATGCAATACATTTCTTAAGTGTATCTTTTCTTATTTAAACATATTTAGTTTGATACTAAAATTGGATAAGAATATACGTTTTGATTTGATTGAAGTGTTGCCGTAATGATGCACCCTCAGCACCTTTGTTTCATTCTTTGAGGAATCCCTGCATGCATCACTTGTAACAGAACATTTGAAAGACATTATATTCTGTATGTCAGTTTCTGTGTGAGTTGCTATTTCCCTGCACACTGAAAGTTTTAAGTAATAAAGGATGGTTGCATTTCTGTTGTTTTGTCGGGTTGTGGAGTGGCCCTAGTTTACAAGCAGCCATGAAGGCAGCATGGCGTGCTGTGCGAGGACTCCAGCCCCCGGCGGCCTCGGCTCAACTTCCTGCCTGCCCTAACTTCACTGTACACAGCCAAGCAGGAGGCTGTTCACTCACACTAGGGGCTCCTCACACCAGATGAACGCAAAGCCGTAAGTGTTTTCATCTTTGTAAAGCGGTAATTCATTAATAAAGCGGGGCCGCTGTTCAGCTAGCTTAGTCATGAGAGGCCTAAGTACTTCAAACGTTTCCTACAAACACGGTAACGTTAACGTTACTCCTGTATCCTCTCGCGCCCACACCAGCTCTGCGTTCACGTTAGATTAACTTAACTTACTGTACTAGAATGAGCTGAATGATCTGTCTTACCCATATGGGTTTGTTTTCTTGTGTCCGGGGATATTACGTTACGTAAACCAGTTCGGTCCTAACGTTGAATCTCCACCTCAAACTAGCATAGCATGTATGTAACGTTAGGTCGCTAACACTAGACTGAAGTTGTATGTTAAAGCTGGACGAAGTGTAAATATTCACAAGCGTCCTTGAATTATAAATGAGCACAATAACCGCAGTTAGCATAGCAAACAAAAAGAGTGAATTCTACCTCCGTGTGAGCGAGACAGGTTAAAGTTGGTGTTGATGCGAGTTTACTGTACGAGCCGTCAAACCGAGGCAGGAAGGGATCGCTGTCCCTGAACACACCGCGGCGGCTGGTACTCTGCAACAGAAACCTCTACTCTCATCAAATGGACACGATTTTAACTATTATGACGCAAAATTACAGATGTTACAAAAACTAGTTATATTGTGTTTGTTAAAACTAAAGAAAACGGTTAGTACAAGTTACAAAAGAGGTACTTACTAATTGCTACAGGTGCAAATTAGTTACTGAGCTAACCATGGCACAGTTAGATGAGTGTTTTTAAAATGTCATTGTTGATTACTACTTGCATTGTCTTCTCTAAATAAATATTACAGTCAAATAAAACATACAATTTTGAACCATACATTCGAAAAGAGAAAATGACAAAATTCTGTTAGTAGTGAAAATATCAGAAATCTGGAATTGATAAAAGGGGAAAAAGCAACAGCAGTCAAGCTCTTCATAAGTGTTAGCATGATAAGATTTTGTTTTTGAGGAGAAAAAGGTTTAAAATGTTTTGGTTAACTTTCACTGAGGACAGGGAGTTCAAAATAATAGCAAGTTTAAGAGTCTGAGGGAAAACAAGACGGAATGCTGTGGTGGGCAGAAATGAGTCATTCAGGGAAATGGCCCATGTGCTCCTGCAGCACAGGACTCCACCCTCCCATACATTTTACTGCAGGCCTTTGTCAGTTATGTTCTCGCAAAGGTTTTCCTCCTGAGGGCTCACTGACTTACTGGTTTAATGCGGTTGGTGGAATTTGTTCACAAATAAATAAAACCCAAAGAGTTATGAGCAGTTAAAAGCGCTGGAATCCGCAATTGCATGACCAGTCTCAAAAGATGTGACTGCAGGTTTTCATCATACAGACCACAGATTTGTAACACTATTCTTGACGTTTAAAAGAGGCGTGACACGCAGCTGGACCAACCCATGGCCGGAGCAGGACTCTACAGCGTTCTTGTTACAACAGGAAATTGTATTAATAAATTATATCCCTGTGACATCACAGGGATGAAAGCAAAATGCGCATCATATAACGCTCGCCAAGCGACTAGTCCGACACGCCCTCAAAAACACCGGTGTAAAAACACTGAGCTGCAGCACAGCTCTCCTCTCCCTTCCAAACACTAGCTACCCTCCAGGCAGTCAGTGGACATAAAGTTGTTCCTGTGATGTAGAGACAGAGCTCAGTTAAAACTTTATGGATGAAAGATACTTTTGTTACAGATTAATAACTCACCACTCTGAAACTCTTGCTCCAGTGTTGCCAACCTGGTCTTAGCCTACAGCTGAATAGAAGATGTTTATCGCTGACCTGCCCTTCTCTGCTTCTGATTGGCTAGTAGTCCTTAACTAGAAGCTGCGCATGTGCAACTCCCAACAAAGATCATTTAGAGACAAGATGTATCACTCCATAGCTAAAACGAAGCCTTCAACACAGGGTGAAAAGAGGAGCTGCAGCAATGTGCAGTATGAGGGGGAAAAAAAAAAAAAAAAAAGGTGTTTTTTGAAAATGAAACCATGTAAAGCTGTTCTGGTACAACCACTAAATAAGATTAGGAACCTGAAAATGAGCAGAATACCACCTATTTAATGCATGTTCTGTGTCCTTCTGCACATCCATAAGGTCTTGCACATAGTCTAGGTTCATACAGTGAAACAGCCATCATCTTGATCAATGCTGAGCTCTGTCTGAGCGTCTAACAATCTTAAATTCTGTTTTCTCTGTCTTTCCTGTCAAATTTATTACTGCAGGTTTTTAGTTTTGTCCCACGACATTTGCTGTGACTTCACAGCATGGATGGAAACATTTAAATGACTGACAGCAGCCTCTAATCATCAAAGTAAATTGTCAAGGAAAACACTCAGCGGAGCGTAATGCTCCCAGTTTGCTAAAATTGTGTGTAAAGAAGTTTTTATCTTCAGAACAAAAGTGGTGGAGTTCCCTGTTAACATCAAGTGCCTGCTGATATCGAGTCTGACTGCTGCTCTTCCTTTCAGGTCCAAGACTTGTCATGACGCAGCAGGAGCAGCAACAGTTCATGGAGAGCCTGGAGACAGCCCTCTCCTGGATGCGGGCCATCCAGGAGAGGCTGAAGGCCGTCGACAACACCCAGGGGCCCCGTGATGCCCTGGAGGCTCGACTCAAGGAGACACAGGTAAGATAGTTCACTTACTGTGTGACCCTTCACCTCTGACCCCTGCTTCTACTTTGATACTCTGTCAGTGCACTCCGGAGTGGAGACAGCTGCAGTTTTGTGGTCTTAAACCTCTTTTCCACTGCACGGTACCAGCTCAACTCGACTCACCTTTTTTGGTTTTTGCATTGTGGAAAAGTTGAACCTTTTTTTTTGTATCACCTCCGTCGAGGTTCCAAGCGAGCTGAGGCGATACTAAAGTGTGACATGAAAACTCACACATTATTTCATCACTAAATCCACTTCTGAGAAGTTGTGAAGTGAGAAATCAACTGTGTAGATTTCAAATATTGACAGTTTTACTAAAAGGGATGGCGGAACAAAAATGTGCTTGAAAGTTTTCGGAGTTGAGGATTCCTGCGGCAACCCCCGGGACGCGCTCGCGAGGCTGGCCCACAGAGCCCTCTGGTCCCACCGTCGCAGAGACCGCTGCAGCAACAGTGGTGACGGGGCAGTGGATAAGACGCCTGCCTTTGATGTGAGAGATCCGGGGTTGAAGCCACTGTGAGACACCATTGTGTCCCTGAGCAAGACACTTAACCCCTCATTGCTCCAGAGGCGTGTGACCTCTGCCATAATTAGCAATTGTAAGTCGCTTTGGATAAAAGCGTCAGCTAAATGAATTAATGTAAATGTAACAACGGCAGAGGAAAACACAGCTGGAAGAGTTTCATAGCGGTTATCGGTCTTTACGTCATGAGTAATGTTGAAACGTTTTAACTTAAATCAAGAGACAGCTGGTGTGTGTGGGTCACAAGTGTGTGTCGCGTTGAACAGTACTTTGTAGCAGTTGTGTGTGGCGTTGCTATGATGACCAGCTACATTGAGGGTACTATCTCTGGGTACTATGCAATGGAAAACGGAGCACGGTCAAGTTGAGCTGGTACTGGAAAAAAGGCATTAGAGTATGGTGCAGAATCTGAGGATCCTTTTCTACTGAAAAATGGATGTTAGGGCCTTATATAAGAGCATAAAGAAGTATTAATTAACTAATTACTGAAGTAATATCCAGGCAATGGCTTGGTGTTAACAATCTGGTTCATATTAGACTGAAATGTATATAAAAATGTAATAAGAAATCAGAAACAAAGGGGAATAATGGGGAAACACATTTAAAGATGTCAACGAAGTAAAAACTGTAATATGGTCAGATTAATGGGATAAATATCGATATAACCGAAAATACTGAGGTAATATAGATTGATGTTTTCACAATATTATAGGTTGCTCTCAGTGTAAAACCTAAGTTTAAGTTAATAAGATTAAATACATTTAGGGTTGTACAATTTTGATGGAATAATAATTTTTACATAATTATTCTCATTTTTTTCATTGAAAAACATATTTAAATGATTATGTAGGGCCCTATGATTTCTGCGATGTGGAATCTCTGAATTTGATAATAAAATATATAAATAAATGTGCTGCAGTTTATGAAAATCTGTGTTTCCCCTAGCATTATGTGTCCTTTTCACAGCACTTGAGCCAAACAAACAGACAAACTAAACTGCTCTCTTTTGTTTTCATTTAGGTGTCATTAGCGAGCACCCTTCTTCTCTCCTCTGCTCTCTGTTAGTGTTTCACACACTCAGAGTACTATATTGAAGCAAAGTCAGCGTGCTAGCTAGCTAGTGGTGTCAGAAAAAATAAAGCGCCACATCAAGCAGCCTTTATAGAGTCTTTGCGAGCAGGCTGTAGAAGATCCGTAGAAGAAGAAATGATCAGTAATTATACATTCATTGTGTATTGTCCCTAAAAATCATTTCACAAACAACTGAACATTTCTATGCACATTAGTTTGAGACATTAAATGAACTGATATTGATTACGTTTTTAATAGTTTCTTATTGAGTTGTTGAAATTGTTTTCATCTACCACATGATCACACACTCTTTCTGATGACAAAATGTGCTTGAATAACATAAACATAGAAATCAGAAAAATTTTAACGCAAAACACAGAATTTGGAAAAAATAAAACGGAATTCAGCATAAATTAATACAGATTTCATAGGGCCCTAATAATGGTGTGGGGTGTGACAATATTAAAATGTGACAGGATTTCTCGTCAGGTTAAAACATGACTCACGAGACTCTCACAATTGACATTTTTCACGTGCTGTCATGCCACACATCAGTTTTCCTATGCAGTGAAAAACAACTATATATATGATAACGTTGACTTGTGGCGAATTAACTCCACTCAGCTGATGCGACACCGGTGTATGTTAGGGCTGAACGATTTGGGGAAAACATCTAGTTGTGATTTTTCAGCCAGATATTACGATTTGCTATTTTTTGTTTGTTTTAAGTTTTGATAAAGTTCTGTATTCACTGACTTCTAACCGGGCAGGAAGTCAGACACAGAATAGAGAATTCGGGTTTTTTTCTAAATAAAATGCCTTATGCAGACTCTTGATAGAAGGACTTTGTTGTGTATCAACAATAAACACAGTTAAAACAGACAAAAATAAACAATTTAACTACATAGCCGGCTTAACTATGGTAGAAGCACATAAATGAAGGACAAATCAACAAATCAGCGAAATCAGGCAGGCAAAATGCTCTTATTCTGAAATGCTCCATGTGGGAAATGTAGCCTGGACAGAGCAGAATGGCACGGAGCTGGTTTTCGAAAACAGCCGCTGCCTGTGTCAATTCGGCTGACTACATTGTCCTACGTTTTCTCTCTAGTTTCATTTGTTGTTGTAAATGTACACGCCCTGTGCCCGCTTTGATTGGCGAGTTGAACCGTAATGCGGCATTCAGACCAACCGCGAATTTTCGCTTCGCGACGCTTTCCTCGCGTGAGTACATTCGCTGCAAGTGTTCACACACAACGCGAGAGGGCGATTTTAACGTGAATAAACACAACTTGCCATTACTACAGCTACAGTACAAGTAAACATTTTGCTGTGATTAATAGCAATAAACTGATGCTGAAATAACTACAATATGATGCAGATTTGTTAAACATATGAATTCATGCTTTGTCAGGTCTGTCAGCAAGACAGCAGGACAACAACTTCTAAAATGTTTGTTTTCTGAATGGAGTTTGGATCGATCAGGGCTATGCTATGCTAACTTGGTCACAGTAATGTCCGGTTTTTATATAAATATGAAGTCGTAGTCCGACAGAGCTAACAACAACATTGGAACCGGATGTGCACGGAAGCTAGCTGCTGAGACGCTCCAGTGAAGATAAATCAATGTTGAAATCCTAAAAACTAAAGCATAAAGCTAATCAATAAAAGCAGTTAACTCCGAGCTCCTCCCGCGAGTAAACGTAGTTGTCAGAGCAGAATCCGACCGACTACGGGGGTTTATTTGTCCAAAAGCTGGAGCGCTGCTCCCTGCTCCTCTCCCACAGGTTTAGCAGCTCTCCGCTCTGCCTGCTCCTCTCCACATAACGCTCTGAAGCCGTCGGTGACGTACAGACAAGCTCAACGTTGATAGGCTATCAGCATCATGCGACTTTCTCGCTTGAGTTGAAAATATTCAACTCGCACGAATTCCTTCGCGTTGCCTTTGCGTCTCCGGCCCCGCCCAACAGGAAATGGCGGCTCTACGCGTCTTTGCATTTGTATGTAAACTCACCGCCCCAAAACAACGGAACGATTTTGTAACTGCATGGCTCAGATGTGCTGTATAATTAACCTACATTTTAATCGCCGTCTTTGAAATCACAATTTCGTTTTGAATAAGACTATGGAGACGTCGTAATAGTAATCAAGTGAATACATGCCAGCCTAATTCTAATTAGTTAACAGTAATTTTACCATTTGACAGTATTATTCATTTTTAAATGTTTAATCTACAGGTACACTACATTTACATTTTATATGATCTAAAGCGCTGCTTCCTGTTCCCTGCTGAATGTGTAGAAAATCCATCAGTCGGAGCTCGAAGGTCGTATGAAGATGGACAGGGTGTTGGTGGCAGCTGAGAACCTTCTGCAGAGCGGAGATGAAGAGCTGAGGAACCACACGCACTCTAAGCTCAAAGACCTGAAAAGCCTGTGGGAGGAGACCTGCACCTATATCATCCACTGTCACAGGTGCTGCTCTGCTCACTGCTCACTCGGTGTGTGTAGTGATCTGTAGGTGTCTGACACTCCTCCTTGTTAGTTGGCCCTGAGGGCAGCTTTGGCTTTATTCATAGTTCAGAAGTTAATGCTCTGTTTTGAATAGCTTTGGACGTGTGATTAAAGGGAATTGTTCCCCTTCTGGACCATCAAAGATTCAGAAAATCCATGTGCACAGACAATATTAGTTTCAAATTTTATAATTAATTATTAATAACAGTTTCAAATGGTTTAAAAACTGCATGCATTGTATAATTATATGTAAACTGTGTGTATTTCTGACATGTCCGCTAAAGGATTTCAGTGAGGGAGTGAGGGGTATCCAGATCTTCGTTTGGCCTTTATGGTGGAAATGCAAACATAGCCAAACATCAACAGATGCAGCTAATGAAGACTAGAAATGTCTAATGATATTAAAAACGCCCATCGCTTTCCCACACATCTTAGAAGTTGCTTGTTTCATCCAACCAACAGTCAAAACCCCTTTAGGTTTTCAGACAGTTTGGACAACCAGTCCCATGATGTGATCCATCCTCAATGACTTGCAACACAGTGCTTTCTGGTGCAAAATACGGTGAAAACTCCCAAAACTTTGCCTTCCACTTTCTATCAGAGCGCCTGCCATTTTCCTGATCATGGACGGTGCACCACCTGTAGCCAAGCTGACAGCACAGGTCCAGTCCATCCCGAGCATGTTGAGCACTCCTATGAGAGATCTGAAAATGTAATGCGCTGTTGTGGTGTCTGTCATCAACAGTCAAAGCCTCATCATTGAGCAACATCTGTAACATCCATGCTATTATCAACTGCAACCAAAAATGCACAAATGACTTTGTGCTTAATTTGTCTGTCCAAATCTCCAGCAAGATCCTATAATCTGTCTGCCACAGAGTTTCTCGTCTGGCGGATGCTGGCAAAAGCCTGTCGCTGTCAGGACACAACTTCTGCCGCCAACAGCAACCTGTCATCACAAACTGACCCTCAGTGTATGGCTTTGATGCTGATGCTACTTTGTTAGCAACAAGGTAGCTTTCTCAGCTGCATCGCTGATGTCTCGGTTGCAACTAAAAACAGACTGCTGTTTCCTCAAACCTGCTAACAATTCATTCTTCTCTGTTTGTAGTTGTTGTTGAAAGTTCTAATATTTTTAGTGTGACAGTGGTAGGCTTACAATTCTGTTGACCAGAAAAACAAAGAAATATAAAGACAAGATAAAAAAACACAAATATGTGAACTCAAAGGGTTTAAGGGGCCACCCTGAAGGGAAAGTCCCCGTCAAGCTCTTTTTGTCAACTAGCAAAAGGAGGAGGAGTTTGGGCATGTAGTAGTCCTGCACGATATGAGGAAAATCTGCGATGTGCTGTAACATTGTTCAATGTTGCAAAGGCGATATGACTTGCAAGAAATAATCCAATATTGAAGTGTGCATATTAGCTGCTTGGTTGTTTTTAAATTGAGGTAACCAACAGCAAAGTCACTATATAAACTCAGTAATATCTCAGTGGAAACAAATCTAAAATGTCAATGAAATATATCTTGACATCAACATTCTGTGCGAAGATTAGAAAAAGAATGAAAAACTCATCAAGACATCAGCCAGTATACTGATACTGGCTGATGTCCTTCCTCCTCCTCTTCCCTCTGCTGCTGTGATTCACTGCCTGCAGGTAATGTTACCTGGTAGAGAGGAGGCAGCTTTATCTCAGCCAGCAGCTCAGTTTACAGCGACGTGCCACATTTTATGGAATGTGGCACACTGAGCTCAACAAAACTTTCATTTAACTTGATGAGAGACTGAGGACAGAGCCCTGGGACCATTTAATTTTGTGTGTCGGTGCTCATCTCTAATTTATAATTGTGTCATTAGTTGTTTTTTTTTTTTTTTCATGATTTAAACATGATGTAACTAGACCCAAACTGCTCAGTCCAACTGTTCTTCATGTGTTTCACCTCACCCAGTCGAATTGAGTGGGTGTGGCTCCACTGGAGCGAGTACCTGAAGGCCTACGAGGAGTTTGAGCTGTGGCTGACGAAGCAGCAGCGCAGTCTGGATGTCGGTGTGGAGCTGCAGCTGGGGGTGAAGGAGAAGCTCTGGCAGGTGGACCAGCAGCGGGTGGTGGTTAGCGACATCCACAGCCAAGCGGCGCTGCTGGAGAGGCTGCTGGACGAGGCTGCTGCACTGCACAACAGAACCCAGGACCCCAGTGTTGAGCCCCAGGCCCAGGAGAGGCTGCAGGAGGCCTACAATGATGTCAGAGACAGGAGTGAGGTGAGGTGCTTAGTAGGGCTGAACGATTAATCGTTTTCAAACTGAAATTGCGATTTGAAAGAAAGCGATTAGCTAAACGTGAAGATTAAAATGTAGCTTAATTATTCTGTTCTGCTCGCCAATCACAAGCGCCTTGCGCCTCCTGTTATGGTCCTACTCACCAATCAGAACAGGCACAGGGCGTGTACATTTACAACAACAAACAAAACTAGAGGGAAAACGTGGGACAGTGGCGTCAGCCGAAGCAACACAGGCAGCGGCTGTGCGTTTTGCCTGCCCGATTTTGCTGACTTGTTCAGATTTTGCTTATTTGTTCAGTTATCCTTGATTTTTGTGCTTCTCTTATGGTTAAGTAGGCTACATAGTTAAATGGGTTTCTTTCTTTTGTCTGTTTAACTGTGTTTATTGTTGTTGTACAATCGGGAATCTGCACACTGTTTTATTTTGAAAATTGACCGGATTCTCTATGCCGTTCTGTGTTTGACTTCCTGCCTGGTTAATCTGCTCTGTGCTGCTTGACGCGGCTTCCTTCAAACATAGACTGGCAGTGAATATTAAACTTTAGCAAAACTTTAAATTGCAATATTTGGCAGAAGAATCGCAGTTAGATTTTCCCCCAAAATCTTTCAGCCTTAGTGCTTATTTATGTTGGACTCTACAGCACTGTTCAACTATAGTCTGTGGCATACTTAAATACAAGGTGTGCATATTCTCAGAGCCATTGCAATAGGTGAGTAAGTAATGTGGCCTTCACAGGGCATCATGCCCTTAGGGACCTCACAGTCCTGTAGATTTGTTTTCTTTTCAGTCCTAACCCAAAATATTAAAAAATTATTCTAGTCTATAACCATTATACAGCCATCAAGGTCATTGAATGATTTTGTGCTTCCTGGGTTAAGGTCATCCTTTTTTTAAACATCACCTAGTAACGACTCAACATGCACATGTATGAGTCGTGGTCTGAGACAAGCAGAAAAACAAACGCTGAAACTAACTAACTCAGAATAGGTGAAAAATGCCCTTCACAATGACGTCTTGAAACTGCTGGTTTTATCTCACTAACAGTCAGTGTGCTCAAAATCTCCATGTTGGAGAAGCTGGAAAAATAAATGATTTAAACCATAGCTTAATTATCAAAATTGTTAAATCATTTCATTGCAGTGGTTTTGTCACATAATGCTGTTAAAGGGGCTGTCATGTGTGTTTGTCAGCTAGCAAACAGTTTATATGGTTAAGTCAGTGAATGTTCTGTCTCATGTGTTCCACTTCATAATGCTGTTGTGTAATGTGCCATACAATGTGAGCTAGAGTAGTTATGAGCCATGACAGGCCGGCTTGTGCTAATGCAAAGGATGTGTACTAGTACATTAGGTTGTAGTATACGCTGAAGTGCACACAGACAAGCCAGAATAATACTTCAGCACAAAGCACAGGAGGAGAGAAGACAAGGAAATGAAAAAAATCATTATACAAATACTCAAAGAGAGAAAGGGAATCTAAACCATGAAATGAAAGCATGTTAATCCTCTAGAGTACAACAAAAGTTGCTGTTTGAATGAGGAACAGCTTCTTCCTAACAGGAAGCACAGGGCTTGAGAAACCCCTGCAGTTGCAGTAGCTGTGGCTTGAAATGGAGACAATCATTTTTGTCATTCTTTGCTCACAAACATGCACACAAGCTTTCAGACATATACAGTACATATTGTTGTTTCAGAGTATGTTTTCTGAAGGATCCAGGAGAGGTCAAAAGGCTGAAATGTTTATTCTCTGAGGAAAGGATAGAGCGGGGGTGGCTTTCTGGTTGGCTGTATGTGTGAGGGTGTTGGTGGGATTTTGCATTACATTTGATGCTGGGTGGAAGTGAGCATTCAGTATGTGCCCACAATTGAGTTAGTTACAATGACAGTAAGGATTTCAAACTTCAGTTGATGTTTACTATTGTACTCTTTCTTTGAACAAATCCCTCAGCCACACAGCTGTACATAAATTTGAGGGTAATGAAAGGCATGTAAATATTTATTCTGTGCATCTATAATCAGATCCAGCCGCTGCAAAGGAGAAAACGGTTTATTGAATCTCAGATGGGAATAATTTATATTCAAAGTAGAGATACTGTTGGATTAGCAGCATCCATGGTGGTGGTGTCGTGGTGGATAAGACACATGCCTTTGGTGTGAGAGACACCAATGTGTCCCTGAACAAGACACTTAACCCTAGTTGCTCCAAAGGCGTGCGACCTCTGACAGATTTAGCAATTGTAAGTCGCTTTGGACAAAAATGGCAGCTAAATGCGTAAATGTAATGTAAATGTCTTTCACGACATCATGCATTCACTTGGTCTGCTGGCAAAGCTGCACTTTTGACTTCAAATGGGAAAGCTATGATTTAAATAATGATGTGTTTTATGGGATAATGTGTCCTGGAGGCACCTCCTACATGTGAACACATTCTTTTTGGTAGTATCTTCTTCTATAACATTTGAACTTGCTCTAAAGAATCTTGTAGTTGAAGTAACGGACAACACAGAGTCTCACAGTAGAATATAAATTAACATTCACATTCAGGCTCCTCTCTCAGATACTCAAATGTGAACTCTGTGATGTGTGCGGAAAGATCTGTTCATTTTAAAATGTACGATGCTAAAAATTACCACAAAGTGTGTATCCTGCTTCGCTAGGAGCGTCTGTCGCTGCTTCAGAAGATTGCTGAGGAGCACCAGACGTACCAAGGCTGGGTTCAGAGGTTCCAGTCCTGGCTGCTGTCAAAAACCAAGGAGCTGACTGATCTGATGGAGAAGGAGGATATATCCGAGAACAAACTGAAAGCCTTACAAGTGAGAATCACTGAAAGTGAATTTGGAAGCTGTTTTTAGATGTGTTGTGTCCTTGTTATTTTCAGCAGTGGAAAAGGGAAAATATTGGATTTGGAATTTGAATTGCACTCAAAGTACCAGCCAAATGAAAAGTAAATAGAATGATCCTCATGAAAAAGAGCATTAATGGATGGAAACAATACAGTATTAGTAGTGACGGCAGAACTTTTCGGGACACAAAGAAATGAAAAGCATATATAACATTGCAATATTCCAAATGTATTTCCAAAGTCACAGATTATGGCTCAGATAATTTATATCTTTATTTGAGTGTGATATTACAAGCATCAAAGGCAGGGCACTATATTTATTTTATTTGTAAGGAACCATATACAGTATTAAACAAAAATGTTATTTGATGTATTGCCTAAAGCAAAAAGTGGAAATGTGACAAAAAATTGCACTGAAAAGCCTTTTAAAATGTAACAATTCTATTTTGCTAAATCTCTGACTCATTTTCTTGCAGACCTTTTAATTAATGAAACATTTGCAGAATGTGTTTTATTTAAGGAAACCATGCTAACAAAACGGCAAAGTAGAAACAATAGGAATTAATCATTAGTATTAGTAATAAAAAAACACATTTGTTTTAAAAGAGCAGCAGAGGGCTGTTGTTGTTCTAAGGCATTTAGTGCAGTAGAAATGATAATTGATTGTTTACATTGAAAATACAGGAATACATTATAGTAAATTCATCAGCTATTGTACTCCAGATAATTTCACTTCTTTTTTTATGATTTCAAACCAAGCCATATATGTATTATTATTCCAAGCAAACACATTGTAATGCTTCTTCTTCTGCCCCGGAATCAGGCTTTGGACGACAGCGTGGCTGGCGAGGAGAAGACCTTGCAGCATATCGAGGGCATAGTGGAGGCGGTGAGGGGTAATACCTCTCCTGCGGGGGCGGAAGTGGTAGTGGAGGAAGCAGAGGAGTTGAGGCTGGGCTGGCAGAGGCTAAGGCAGGGTCTGTGTGAGGCCGAGGAGGGCCTGCGCTCCAGCCTGAATTCCCACACTCAGTACATGGCCAGGTGCCAGCGGCTGGGAGAAGACATCAGCTCCCTCAGGGTGCTGCTGCAGGGGCTGGACCAGGAACTGGATGAGGGCCGTGAGGCTGGGGGCTACACTGACCGCACAGAGGAACACATCGTGGGCCAGTGGAGGAAATACACAGTAGGTTTATTCAACATATCTATAGTATTATTCACTTAAGTGGAAATGTAGTGTAGGTGCAGGAAAGTCCTACTTATTGTGGTCCTGCATGGTTTCGCAAGGGAAGTACCCTTCTGTGGCATGAAAATCTCATAAAGTCCTTGTCAGATGAATGGTGTGGTTTTCCGGTAAAGTCAATATAGACTTCTATCAACACTAAATAATGGGAGAGCACATTCACCATATTATGGCATATTATTTTGGGAGCAGGGCTTTCTTGTTTTAACTGTATTAGTGATCCAGTAGATATGTTGCGTCAGTCGCTATTGACTTTTTGACTTGACTTTTTTTTTTTTTTTGACTTATTATGAACGCATGAATGTGTCGCTCCATGTAATTATCTTGCATGTGCTCAGAAGTAAAAAGCAGATTTATACATGACCAAGAAATCTGCACGCTCCAGGAGAAATCTACCTGGGAAAACCGTGTCCCCAATCTACGACTCAGCGGCACGATGTTAAAGACACCAGCTTACTGATGAAAGCCAATTGTAACCTGGCTACTTTAGTGCATATAAATGAACTAATTATCAATTTGTGTACTGTCAGATTTTGCCTTATTAGTGTGAATAGAACACGTTTACTGTTTTATTGATTTATTAACTTTATTTTTATATATTTTTATTATTATTTGTTTTTTATTAATGACAGTGAGACAGAGAGCCGATGAGACAGCTAGATAGTAAGACAGAGTAGTAATGAGTGCAGTAGTAGTGGTTGTAGCAGTAGAAACAGTATTATTAGTATTAGTACTATTAGTAGCTGTTGTAATAATGAGTGCCGTAGTAGAAGCAGTATTGTTAGTGATAGTAGTATTAGTAGCTGATTTAGTAACTACTGTATTACTAATAGCACTAATAGTAGCAGTAGGAGTAGAGATGGTGGAAGTTATTGAAGTAGTAGTGGTAATATAATTAGCAGTATTAGTGGTTTCAGTAGTACAAGCAGTATTATTAGTGGTAGTGGTATTAGTAGCTGTTGTAGTAAATGTAGTAGTAGTGGTATTGGTAGTAGAGCAGTAGAACAATTATTATATTTATGAGTATATTCTGAGTTTCCACTGGTTGTCCTCACTTCATGGCATTTATTTGACATCTAGGCATTTCTCCCAGTAAATAGGGGAGTTTCTGTGTGTCTGATATGAATTTGAATTCGGGAAATGTTTGCAAAGTGTTTTTGTCTTAGTGTTTTATATCTAGGGCATGAGGTTAGAAAGTGCAGCTCTGTCTCTACCTGTCCCCTGTCACACTGGGAGCAGAGTCTCTCCTCTTGTGGTAGCCAGTTCTGTCTGTGGCGACCCTTTTCTATGGCCAGGCTGTGTTCACTCAGTCTGTATGTTGTCAACATTTTTCTTAGTTTAGGACATTTTATTGTGCTCAGGTAATTTGCCAGTGTGAATTCTCTTTTAAGGGTCACATAACATTGTGATTTACTTTGTGTTTTGGTCGTTTCTTTCCAGTATTCAATATATTTTTCTTTCTGCTTGCTGATAATTTGGTTTGGTCTGCTTGAGTTTGTGTTGCTGTCCTGAGGCTGTCGGGGACTTGTTACTGCAGAGAGCCTCAGGACCAGCTGGCTGAGTATTTGATCATTTCGTTGAGGATTCCATCAATACCACAAGCCTTTTTTCCAAGGGACTTGATGACTTGTGTTAATTCTTGTTCTGTTATAACATTCTAAAGTTGGCAATTCATACTTTTCAGTCACGTGACATGCACGGTGACCTGGAGGGCAAAACAATGGACCAACATTGCTCCCCCATAGAGACGCTGCAAAAGCAGTCAGATTTTATTTGGATCACCATTCAACTTAACCATATGTAGTTCCACACTGACCAGACTTATTTAAGTCACAAGGTCGAAGCTGCAATCACTTTTTCGCAAGTGGAAAACTACTTGTTACTTGTTGTATTGGCCCTTTAAATGTATTTCAACAGGTTAAAAGGACTGGGTGAGCTACAATTAGCCACAACTCATAACGCTCATAAATGAAATCAATTCATTTTGAGAACCTTTCAGTCACAAGGTAGGGAGTGGAATCAGATTTTAGGCAAGTGCAAAACTGCATTGGCCATTTAAATGGATTGCAATTGGTAATAAGGACTGATTAAGCTATATTCTGTCTTTTTGGCACGTGCAATACTGCAAATTACATATTTCAACTGGTAAAAAGGTGGATTGGTTGGCACAGAGCAAGCAAAATTAATGTCATAAGGACAATGGCAAGAGCGACACTTCCTGTATTTTATTTATAGCCTAACCCAGCTGTGAATCATGTTCAATAAAGACTACAGTCTGTTTTCCAAATATAAACAATATACAGTACAATAAACAAATATTATTAAACCAAACACAAATTTCATCGGCAACTATAAGCAAATTATATTGCTTATAACAATGTTTTGTCAAAACGTCAGTTGTATTATTCCCTTACAAGAAACATTAACATTTCACAAAGACATACCTTTGCTACCACGGACATAAAGTGATGCTTATTTGCACGTTATAACTGCTTGATACAGATAAAAGCAGCTGTGTATAGATAGGACACCTTTAACATGCTGCGTGCGCTCCCCCAGAGGGCAATCCATTTTACAGCGGATGATCACTTTTCACCTGTCACTTGCTCCAGCGCATCAACTTGATTGATGAGTCAAATTCACACGCACATACTGAGCAAGGCTGCACTCTCTCTGTTTCACTGTCTACCTGTCTGACTGCCTACCTCTCTGTCTCGGTCTGTCAATGTCTGACTGGCTGTCTTTATCTGACTCTCTGTCGTCTGTCTCTCATTTCCCTCTCTATCTTTCTGTCTCTCTCTCTCTGTCAGTCTTTCTTTTGTTCTGTCTCCCTCTCTCTCAACTCAATTTATAATGCTTCTGCCTCCATTTCACTACACAACTGCAGATATCAACATGTTCCACTTTTTGAGGACATGTTGTGCTATGATTCATCTATTTACTACTTCCATATTTTCTTTTGACCAACATATTTCCACTTCTGACATTATAACACCGTTCAGCTTTTAAACAATGTATTTAAACTCTGATCAGATTTTCTTGAGCAGTTCAATGCAATTGAGCTTCAAGACTTTTCAGGCATTTGATTTCTTCTTCATTTTCTGCAATGTTTTGCAAGTTTGTTGTTTTGTGCATTTCAGCTAGTTCAAGCATTTGAATTAAGCTCTTCCTGTAACGTTTTGCAAGTTCATTCAGCTTCAGCATACTTTTACACTTTCCGCAGGAAATGCAATTTCTAGTTGTTCCTACAATGGTGTCCTTCCCTTTATTTATACCCAAAACTTTCTATGAAGCCCCTAAAACCATGTTTTAAATCTTTAGTATGACAGTATGAGATTACAGATCTGGTCAGATGCTTTATATCAAAGTCAGTGCTTGAACTTTCTGATACTCAGTGCTGCGGACACATTTCAGTCTGTAGCAGAAAAGGATCTAGGTTTGATATCCAGCCATGGGATAGAATCCTTTTTGCTTCGGGCATTGCCAACTTCACTCCACTTCTTCCCAGCATAGTAAAATATTTACGCTCGTTGTGTCCTCCTCCATCTCTTCTCTGTTCCTTGCTATTATCCATTCTTCTCCGTGGTTGCACACCTTCATTTTGTATGTCTTTTTTTGGCCTGCTTGTGATGCCTTTCCTCCTTACACAAACATCATTCCTCCTCTAGTCCCTTGTAGAGGTTATATTCAATTCGATGTTACTAATATAGTGCCAATCCAGAAAGTCATCTTATTGCTCAAAAAATCCCACTATGAGCAAGTACTTTGCAACACAGGCAAGCAAACTCAAAAACATGACTCAGGATGGGTGGCCATCTGTCTCGGCCGGTTGGGAGTGAGAGAGAGGGGGGGCAACACAATAATACAGACAGTAGAAGTAGCAGTGGTACAGAAATTGAATAATGGTAGGTGATTAAATCTACCTGCCCTGACATAATGACACTTGAGTGGATTCTTTATCCCATCACTTTATTTTAATATCACTTTGCAGACACACTGAATGCCTCAGAGAGGTGCAGCTGTGTCACCATCAGGTTATTATTTCTATCTGGGTGCCTCACACTGTGGCAATTACCAGGTTCATCTACCTCTTTGTCTGACACGTCACCACTGGCTGGATTGATATGTGTTCCCTTCCCTTTGTGTAGTAGAAAAAGACAAACATGACAAGCTGTGCCTCTGTAGTATTCAGTTTTGATGTCATGTCTTTATATGTCTGCAGCATGTGACAGATAAAGGGGAGAGCCGGCAGAAGGTGTTCACAGAGAATCTTACAGTGGAAGAGCTCTACCTGTGGAGCTGGTTGTGACTGGAATGCTAAATGACCTGGGGACTGTCTGGCATCCGCTGGAATGTAGTCAGGCTGTCAGCTCACTGTGACACAATGTGTTTTCACTTTTAGTTTAAGAAGTGAAATGGATTGCAAACAACTATATCCATATTGCAAAATATACCACTGTAGGTGAAATATTTAGCTCAGAATTTGGATTGAAAGGTAATGGAAAGAGAAGCCAAAGAATTATAGAACATGCTTCACTAATGGTCCTAACGTTAAAGACAATAGAGTTGTATGTGTATGTTAGTAATTCATGAGAGCACATGTCAAGATCTGGAAATAAGCCATCTTCAGCAGTAAATGGAAATGACATTTCTGTGTCCAATGCTGGGAATATAGCGTACTTTCATTTGTTATGCCATGTATCAGGGTACTAAATAGTCTTGGAGGTCCACTTAGAAAATGTCAGCAGTGTCACAGGTGCACAAAGGATGGATTAGGTGAGTGATATGTCTAACTGAAAGAACATCTTCATTGTATGACCAACTTGTGCTTTCTTTGGGGGAACGCATATTTCCATAGTCCACTGACCCTTCAGCCTGCTGTGTCACTGTCAGTCTCTTTTCTCTGTATTGGGTAGTTTTGAATATGCTATTTCACTGTTTCAGCCTCAACAGACTGTGGCTACTAATGGCTGAAATTTAACAGGCGAGGTGACGTGATAGCCATGTGTCTCAATTTCTTTTTCTGGATTAAACTATATTTTGGCCCAGATCTAGACGGGGTTTGCCTGTTTAGTATGTGGACCATGTATATAATATGCCAAATCAAGAGTTTGAGTTCCTCTCTGACATACCTGCATAAGGAAACACTGTCTCTAACCTGCTTCTTGTGAAAAGGAAGGATGAAAAATTAGCATTTACATAACTACCTGTATATTGACGCTTTTTACTTCTGACACTCTCTGAGCAGGTTTGGGTGTCTCACTAGTTCAGTAGGGATTGCGTCATTGTACTGTACAGTGAATTGGATTTTGGACACTGACTGGGTTGTTGATTGATACTGATCCCTCACTGAGCTGAGACACAATGTTGGACTGGTTGGACTGTTGTCAGATTTCTCCAAAAACAGCTGCACTGAATTTATTTCCAACATACTGAGGTAGTTAGAAAGTCATGTAAAACGTCATGAAAAATAAAAATGAAGGTGTGCATATGTAGCTGCATCAATAGTTAAATAACAATAATGAAGTTTGGTGTGGGGTTTTCACAGCTCTGCTTTTGATGAACTCTTTTCACAGATGTGTGATAGCAGAGTAATCACAGCGGCAGCTGATAAAGTAATTGTTGCTACGCTTCATTTATGCGTGCCAGTTAGCAGCCACTCACAATAATACTAATTATAATACTGTTGGTCACTCATTGTTTACTATGTGCAGCTGTGTTATCTATTCAAGACATTAGTAATGGCTGCAGTCTAATTACATCAGCCACTACCAGGGCTTTGGTGCTATGCATGCGGGCTGACTGAACATGTAAATGGGATAGAGCCATCTTTGCTGAACCTGTGCTGTTCTTGCTATAGCTTGCCATAATGTTAAGCACACAAATGTCTATTGTCTCACATTAATCATCAGATTTAATCTTCATTAAAGGGATAGTAAATGATTGTAATCCAAGATACTTTTTGTTAAATTTAGCAAATATTTCCTCATGGTTTGAAAGCTCTCTGTTCTCTGTGTATCCTACACAGCCCTTGGTCTGTAAATGAAACACAAAGAAATTGGTGCGGACCTTGCCCACGATACTGTTCCAGCCAATCAACAGGCGGCGTAGGAGCAGAGGGAGATTGAGTTGTCTACACCGGCACATTCAAACGTGCTGGACTCCACGTACTGTGCAGGAGACATGGCCAAGAAACAGCCAAAGAGGAAGAGGTCTGAAGAGTAGAAACAGAGAAGAAAGTTAAATGAGCAGGCAAGGGCAAAGGCTTCTTCAACTCCGAGATTTGAAATCTAAGGAACGCAGCCTCTGAGGGAGCACTGAAGGGAGGGGTGTATTTGTTTGGCAGTAGAGTTCAAATATGTACAATCCTTCTGCTGAATCACTTACTACCCCTTTACAGAGTGTGTGCTGTTAACAACATAACAGTACTCAATACTCTGTATGAGACACAGCAAGGCTGAGAAAAGGGTCTATTGGAAGTGTACTGATGTAGCTTCCAGCGTGGAAGCACAGCATGCATGCAAGGATTACAGCTTCTTACTGTGCATTCTGGGATTTTTTTCTGGAGCTGAACAACTAGGCATCATGCTGCAGGCATCATGGGAAGAAGAGGAACACCTTCTGTTAGGTTTGTAAAGAATAGTTCAAAGCTTCGTACATCATGCAAGACTAACCCCCACTGGCCTCAGATGTAACACCAACAGCAACTTAGTTTTCCCAGGATGTCTCGCATCCGAGTAGCCCACACCTGCTTAGCTTCAGTCATTCGGCAGTAACAGGATACATGTTAGTATGCCTGCTGACAATATGACGTGAACATGGCAGTAAGCAGTATAGACAGTGACTGAGTGAGTGTGTCTCCGGTGTCTGTGGTAAAAATCACACCCTTTGGTTTGCTGCTGTTGTGGCTTGAACTTACTTCCATATTTGTGTCTTGCAGGGTGTGAGGAATACTCTGGCAGGGGAGGAGTCCCAAGTGGAACTTCTCAAGGCTCAGCTCAAGGAGCTCTTCAGGTTCTCAGAGGACTCACGCCACCTTTCTGATGAGGTCCTGGCTGTTGTCAAAGAACATCAGAGGTATGTGACAGGAATCCTAACACTGTTTAAAATTTAAAACCTTGTGTGGCACATGTAGGCAACATAATGCCTGTAAATAATTATTGTTAAAGCTTACTTGCAGTACCAAATGGTTGCCTCAAAACATTCTCCATCAGTCCAACTTTAGAATATTAAGTGTGACTCTGTATATAGCTTAAACAAATTAAAAGCAAAGGTATTTGTTTAATGCTTTCTACAATGCAATTCAAAGTACTTTAGTAGTAAGACAGAATTTTCAAAAAACAATGAGATTTCATTTCGGGAGGAAAATCATAATCTTGCAGAGTGGTGCACAGAGAACAACCTACTGCTCAATGTCAGCAAATCACTGATTTCAAGAAAAAAACGAGATAACACACACGCTCCTGTCTTCATCAGTGGAGCTGAGGTGGAGCAGGTGAACAGTTTCAGGTTCCTGGGAATCAGCATCACAGAGAAGCTGACATGGTCACCTCACATCTCCACGCTGGTGAAGAAAGCTCAGAAACAACTGTATTTCTTAGGGAAACTTAATAAGGCCAAGTTCCAGTGCCAAGTTCTTGTCAGCTTTTACAGAGGAGCAATAAAAGGCATCCTGCCTGGAAATATCACAAACTGACATGGGATGTGCACGGCCCAGGACCAGAGGGCTCTGCAGCAGGTGATTAAAACTGCTCAGAAGATCATTGGTAGCCATCTCCTGAGCATCAGTGATATCGGAGAGGTGAGGTACCTACAGAGCCCAAAGGATACTAAAGGACAGCACCCACCCAGCCACAGCCTGTTCACCCTGCTGCATTCTGGGAAGAGATATAGAAGTTTCTGCTGCCACACCACCAGACTGCAGAGCAGCTTTCCCCCCCCAAGCTATCAGATTTTAAAACTCTAAATCAAATTCATCATCAGCACTGCTCCACTGATGATAGTTTATTTCTGTCTACCATTTTTACAATTGCTTCTATTTTAATGTGTCTTGTCTGCTATGTAGCAGAAGGGAGTTATAAACTGAGTTTCACTCTACAACTTGTTGTATTGTGACAAAATAAATCTACCATCCTACAAATAAGTATGAATACAAGATGGTAAAGAAACACAAGACAATATAAAAAGACATAAATCAAAGAAGCAATTTCTGAAGATCGTTGGCTGTTGAAGGCTTATACTAAACTGGATTGCTGGCTTTAAAAGTTGAATAAAACCAATAATGTATGAAATATGTGAAACATCAAAACATATTGTATAACCTTAATCCTGTAATGCACAATCAAGTTATATACATCTTTCTTTTCTTTCAGGACAACCTAGGAAATCAGAATATGTATGCTGCATGAATGTAGAAATAGCTATATGACCATAAAGACAAAAGAAAAATGTAATCTCAGAATTTAATTCAGATCACACAGAGAATAATAATGAAAGTTCCAGTCTTGGCAATCAGGGGACAAAAATAACATTCTAACCAACACACATCAAAAACTATTTACAAGTGCTAGTTGTGCCATTCAATTCAGTCTTATTTCTATAGCACCAATTCATAAAAGTCATCTCTTTGCACTTTTCATATAGAGCACGTACTCTTTGTAATAGTATTAACAGAGACCCAACAGTTCCCATGACGAGCAAGCACACAAACAAGGAAACACTTCCTTTTAGGAGGTAGAGAAACCTTGAGCAGAACCATGAGTCATGGTAGGCAGCTATCTGCCTCTGCAGCTTTGGGTGAAGGATGTCTCGAAGCAGTTCCTGTCTGCAGTGAGGGATGGCTGGCTGGCTATAAATATTTCTGTATCTAGTTCTATCTCTCATGGTTGTCCAAAGCTAATTATCCATTGGGAGAGAGGCTGCCTTTGTTCTGACATCACTTCTGGTCCATTTCCATGTCGAGAAGCCATCTGTAAACGCAGAATAATAACTGTAAATCAAATGAAAACAGGTCAACTCAGATGGTTCCAAAATGGCCCAGAGGCATTGGAGTAGAAATTACTAGTGGTTTTATTCAACCAGACACAACTTTTGATGACAAAGACGGCAAGACATAGTTTGTTTGTGTGGATAGCATGAAATGAGAGCTACCGGGAGTACTGTGACTGCAAGCTTGCACCGTGTTCAGACACAGAATGCTTTTTGCTACATGCTAAGTCAATTGCTTTGGGTTTGACTTGTTTATTTTTGGTAAAAGTGGTTAGCATGAGCTTTTAGCTGAGCTTCGTCCTGTTAAGTGGCTGTGCAGCATGAAGATGTTGCTACATGGTTAGCATGTTATTATAACCAGTTAAAACACTGAATTAAGCAGTTTGATGTTAAAATTCAGTGTTTTTCTGATGCTGTTCTGCGCTGACCGAGCAATAGCTGCCACTAATGTTGCTCAGCTTATTTCTTTCAAAACTTAAGACATCTGAAGATCCTTTATCCGGTTAAAATATATAGTTAAAAATGACCATGATCTAAAAGGTGTATTGTAAAAATGTGTCTTGACAATGGATTAAGAGTAAATTTATGGCAGACAACCACAACGCTGACACATGAGCAAAGAGGATGTGACACCATTCATTATTGAAAACCTATTAATAAAATGACTCGCAATGTTAAAGCCACAGAGCTCTAATATTTGTGCTCTCAATTTAATCATACTCCATTGTAGCTGCTTAAAGTTGTATCTTAGATATAAATGTCTGTCCAAAAGTCTGTATACTATACTGTTTATTATTATTTATTTGTCACTTTTGTAACTCAGCAGCTGTTCATATTGAATTTATTACTGTGTGTATATATAATATCCACCTACCTCATGTACATAATAACACCTGCACAAACATATTTCTTCCAGCATGCTTTGCACTGTGCTCCATTACACTATTTTCTTGCTGTCTACAAATGTTGTTTTTGTTGGTGTGTGTATGTGTGTACTTTATGCTGTAGTCTGTGTGTAAGACCGGAGGCAAATTCCTCTGTGTGTACACATACCTGGACATTAAAGCTGATTCTGATTCTACTATTGGACATGTATTATTCATGGTTACCAGAAGGTGAAAACATGTTTATCTACCATCAGAACAAATATAAGAATGAATTCCTTTTGATTTTCTTCAAGAAATTCAAGAACAAGTCTATATATCTACAGCCACGACTCTGAGCTAAGTCTAACATTGGTTAGCATGCTGATGTAGAGCAGGGAATGTTCACCATCTTAGTATAGCATGGTAGCAGGCTAACGTTTGATAAAGGCTGATGAATTAATTTGTTTTATTTGGTCATACAGAATTGGCCAAACTAAAAGTTTAACCTGATGCAAGATGCAGTTACAATCCACTTTACTTGTCAAACTTTTGTAAGTTGCATATTGGACCGTGATTGATTTCCAAACTAGTTATGCCCTAGTTAAATCCTGCTGGTGCGTCAAGGTGTTAAGCTGAGATTTAAGGTGAGCAGATGAATGTGAAAACAAACTGCACATCCATCATTCTGCACAGTGAAGCTCAAACATCACAGTGATGAACAATAACCAAAACATGTTTTTGATGGGAGGGAACTTTAATATTTGAATTCCTATAACAAACTGTGAAGTCGCACTCTGACTGTCCTTGACGTTGTCTGTGACAAGTGCTTTTTTTGTCAGGGGGCAATTGGTAAGTGACCAAGCATGAAATCACTTTATACTGCCAAGAACGTTTTTATAAGTAATTGTTATGTTGCCTTACTTTTTGTTCAAGGTACTCTGTAAGCTTTTCTTGTAAATAAAGTTCACATTACATTTAATGTTTCTCACCAAAACACATGCTTTTCCCTTCTCATAAAACATTTGCAAAGCTGCTTTTCAAACCCCTAATTGTTTACTTCCATGTTAAGTCTTCTTCTTTTTTCCCCACAGAAAGGGAAAAAAAAAGTATACAACGTATAGTATCATATAAAGTAAATATGGGTGTGCTGAGGACAAAATTAGAGCCTTAGTGGTCAGAGAAATAGTGTGATAATAATAACACTAGGGCTAGTAATAATAATTGTAGCAGAGGGTGGCAGCAGGTGACTCACAACCACAAATCCAGACTCCACAGCTCCAGAGCCAGAAACACCAGAAAGTGATGGAATACAATATGTTTTGCACATATTGTTACATATTTGTACAAAACAATTACAGCTTTGTTGGTCAGTTTTGTAATTCTCTTGTAAATGTCCTTTACAAAAGGTCTCTTCAAATGGTCTCTTAAAATATCTTGTGTGCTCATGTTGCAGTGTGAAATGCAGAGTGACGAGGCTTTGTTCAGAGTCAGAGTCAGGGCTGAGAAACATTCTCCAGGACCCACTGCTGGTCTACACCCAGTGGAGCCAAATGGTCTCTGAGGTTCTGGAAGCTTCTGCTGAGGTTACTGACTTCTCCCACATCGCCATGTTGGTGCAGAACATAGAGGTAAAACACACATTTCCTTAAAGCAGCTATAATTTATATTTGTGTGATAACAATGTATTAAACAATGTCACTGTTCAGTCCACTCTCACTGCTCTCATAGCATCGTTTTTGGCCTTAGCAGGCAGTTGTTTCAGCAAACAATCTTTTAAAAAAGCCACTGTACGCAACCTGCTCAGCAGCAAACAGCAGACAAGCACAGATAGCGAAAAGCCAAATGTAACGATAGATTTAAGCCAGTGAATGAAGAGAAGGTGCAGCATTAAATCAGAGAAATTAAAAGATATTTTCTGATGGTAAATCACAAATAAACATCTCCACACAACCCTGGAATGGATGAGTTAATAATGGCATAGGATAATAATAATTAGCATTCTCACTTAAAGCGCAACTGGACTTATACATATAAGTAGTGATGATGAAAAGAGGCATATACAGTAATATAACAGGTGGTCACTACGTTTCACTCAATTTTTAATACACAAAATACACAACACACCTCTGTTTAAACTGCTTCTGACTGATTAATAGGAGCTCACATGCTGCCATGCATTTGTGTTTTCAAATAATCTTGTATAATTCACTTCCTTGACAGTTCATGATTAACAGATTCATTTAACAGTAGTTTAGCCTTTGAATTCCTGCTAAAATTCCATATCTGTGATGATGAATACTGAGCATTCTACTAGAAGAAGGCCGGCTGAGCGAGCTCAAACATCTGGGTGTGTCCCGCCCACTGAAACCAACCTTTTGTTTTGGTAATCCAGAGGGCGATCTCAGCTGGGGGCAGCCAGTCTTAATGCACAACACCTGTATGCAATTAGACTCATACTACTTCAGTGAAACCTACCACTGAAGCATCAGCGTAAGCGTCGGCTCTTTGTGTGAAAACCTACGTGGGTAAAGACCAGCGAGTCTACCTGCGCGAGTCCACCGAGCAAGGCCGCCTACAAGAGTAGCTTTTCCTAAGCACTCCTACTCACTTAAAGCTGCCGGCTACAACTAAACTCAGGCCATGTGCTACTATACTATTCCTGTTGTCTCTGCTGCACGCTAGAGGTATCATGCCATTAAGCACAGAAATAAGACACCACCCACTTCTGTTGACTTGTCTGTTGGGTCATGGATAACAAAGCTGACTTCATCACTGCTTATGCTAACACATGATCTCTCGGGCTACTGGCGCTCACTGAGACCTGGATCAAACCAGAAAACTCTGCTACCCCCGCTGCGCTGTCCACCAATTACTCTTTCACCCACACCCCCCGACCGTCAGGGAGGACTGGGAAATCACACAGCTGCTACCCCCGAATCAGTGTGAAACTTTGTGTACAAGCTAGAGACACTGCTGTCTTCAATCCCAGAGCATGACTGTCCCCTACCTGTCCTCAAATCAAACCCAGCAGAGACTTCCTGTCTCTGATTCAGTCTCTGCTTGACCTTGTTCTTATCCGAAACTGTGCCACCTCTACATGTGTCAGACCATTATCTCTATATACCTGCGTGCCTACAGGAACAGCCCGTTGTTGCAGCACCTTATGTCTCACACTGCCGCCACCTCCGTAACCTGTCTCCCACTCACTTTGCCTCTCTGGTATCCTCCGCTCTACCTCCCCTCAACACATTTTCCCCACTCGAGGTCAATGATGCCGCACAATCTCTGTGCTCATGCCTGGAATAGCCTGTGTCCTCTATCCACCAACCCTGCTCACCAGAACCAGTCCCACCCATGGCTAACTGATACCATCTGTGGGATCCGTACAGATCTCAGAGCCACTCAAAGAAAATGGCGACAAACCAAAGACCCTGCGGCCCTTAAGGGCTACCAAATGGACCCGATTCCTACAAATCTCCTCCAAGCCATATCTCCTACCGGCAATCACTCATGCGATAAATACTTCTCTGGCTTCGGGAACATCCCCGTATACTTTCAAAAGGGCCACAGGTTACACCCTTGCTCTAAAAGCCCTCCCTCAACCCTACTCAAGTTGTAGGGTCGAGGGAGGGCTTCACTTCTACCGTTTTTATCCATAGCTATCGAACGAGCAGTCTTCAACAGGTCACAGAATTCCTCTCAAGGAATGACCTCCTAGATCCATATCAGTCTGGTTTTAAGAGTGCCCACACTACTGAAACGGCTCTTCTGTCTGTAACAGAAGCCCTAAGGTCAGCTAAAGCTGCAGCCCAATCCTCGGTCCTTATCCTGCTTGACCTATCAGCTGCCTTTGACACAGTCAATCACATGATCCTCCTATCCGCTCTCTCAGCAATGGGCATCTCGAGTAAAGCACTCCTGTGGTTTGAATCCTACCTCTCGGGGTGTTCCTACAATGTTTTGTGGCAAGGACAATTATCTTCCTCCCACTGCCTCTCCACAGGGGGGCCCCAAGGCTCAGTACAGAATGTAAGCAAGCTACACGAACGGCATCAGATTATGAACAGGTAAATACAGAGTGACATTTATACATTAAACGGCATTTCAGAACGATGGCATGTAATACTTATTTTGTCCAGTTGGGGGAGCTCTGGTTCCATGAGGAGTAGATATTCAACTTGATTATTCTTTGAACAACCCTTTGCTCCGGAGCTTAATGATTTAACATTAAATTCGAGCTGAAAAATGTTAACATGTTAACATAACTACTCAAATGGAGTGGAGAGACCTGGTTAAGTAACTTAAAGATTATTTAATTAAACAAGGTAATGCTTTGAGTTTTGAGGAGACAGTACTCCCTGTTTACATAAAGGAATGCAGGGCAGTGTCTTCCTCTGGTGTTCTGGAGTTTCTCACATCTGGGTGTGAAGAGGAGAATATCCTTTGATGTGAGGTAATTAAACAAAGAGGGAGGTCAGTTGCCATGGTTACGTGTGTGGGGGGGAAGTTGAGGGTTTCCTGCCCTCTCTTAAAAAGAGTTCTGATGGGCTGTTCAGGAGAAAGCTAACTTCAGGTTAGTGTTTCTTTGTCATTTTAACAGTCAGGTGCCAAAGGTGGCCAGTTGTACGATCAAACTGCCCAGAAACAGCACTTAGGGAAAGCAAACCTTTCAAGCCCTCCTTTGGTCACTTCAGCTGTCTGTTGAGGGTTGATATCTCAGCCCCTCCGCTTTCTCCCAGGGAGAGAGAAGAAATTTGGAGTCTTCCAAATTTATTTGATATAAAATGCACAAATCCACACTGGTTTGTTCACAACAATGGTCACCACCGTCCTTTCTTTAACAACCATACTCCTCTGAAAACTGAAATTGAACTATAATTTCATTGATCAGTATGTACAGGATATGTACAGGACAGAACTGTACACTAGTGTAGCTTGTAACTGATGTTCTCAACCCTGGACAAGTAGGTAGTAATGACATGCAGCTAATATTATTTTGTTACTTATTTAACTAATGTTCTAAATAGCCAAAAAACATGCTTTCCAGCAGTTGGGGAAACAACAGACAGACTTTTATTGAGGGACACACTGTTCCCTACACTGTACATAGTCAAAAATTGCAAAATGTCTTTCAGATAGATGCAACACTCTAGAAAAAGCTTAAATTTTGAGGTGAGACCACCAGACAATCAAACATGTTGTTGCTAATAGTCAATTGGGGAGTAAAAAGCTCATGGAGAAGAAAAGGCGCAAATTAACTACAAAATGTATCAGTTTCTTGATGTGTTCACAATCAGCTTTCCCCAAATGCTGTTCAAATGGTGGTATTTTCTTCCCTCACTGTAAATCTCAAGTTTGAGAAGGGCCCACAAGTACTATATAAGAATATTAGATTCAAGTCAGGTGAGGTTGGGGGCCAGGTCATTCTTCGGGCATCTTTAAGGCCCTTGCTGGCTAGCCAAGCAGTGGAGTACTGCATGTGATGGAGCACTGTCCTGCATAAAGATCATGACCTTCTTGAATACTAAGGACTTCTTCCTGTACCACTGCGGAAGAAAGGATCTTCCAGAAAGTGGCAGGAAGTCTGGGAGTTGAGTTTCAGTCCATCTTCAACCTGAAAAGGTCTACTCATCCTTAATGATAGCAGCCCATACCAGTACGCCTCCTCCACCTCAAATTTGTGCCCTGTTTCCATAGGTGATCCAGCCATAGACCCTTGGAGGATATCGGGGTTCTAGTAGCTTCGCGTTTAATTCTACTCAAGTCTTTTGCAGTTAATTTGCGCCTTTTCTTTATCATAGTCACCTACTCTGCCTTCATGTACAGCTTTTAATGGGAAGGTGAACATGCTCTGTGTGTATAGTTTTTTCCTTCACATGTAAAAAAGAAGCTGTTATATGAGGGGCCTGCGGTCTAATCTAAGCGTTCAACTTTATACAGCTTTGAGTTGGAAAATATGATATGGTCAAAATACTTGCTTGCCTAATGTGCCCACAGTGTACAGGGGGAACACAGGTCTGAGACCAGTAACGGAGATTGACATTTGTTAATCGATTCAGAATCTTCCACGTCCGCATCGCGATGCATCTGAGAATAGATTTTTTTTCCCCCACCCCCTACTGCCTAGGTATATTAACAGCTGCCTAGGTCTATTCGGTGTGGGTGGAAATATCCAATGTTCATGTTCTGTGTTTCAAGGACAGCCTCTGCTGGTGGAAGGTTAGCAAATTAATCTGGCACTGCGCTGTTGAGTACTTAGCGAAAATGTTGTAACCATCTTGCAGTCTGTTTGAGATCTGTTGTTATGCCATCCTTGCCTTTGACAGTGGCCTACTGGTTGGTGTTCTTGCCACTGAGTTGCTTTGTGATCTTGTAAATAGTACTTATCTCACCTCTTACAGCAGCAGCAATAGCTTAGCATTACCTGCTAAGTTCTCTACAGAGGCCCTCTTGTCTCTCCTGGTGCTCTTTTTCACCCGTTGTCCTTTTCCATGTAGACGGTGATTTGGTGCTAACATCTTGACCTTCAGTTCTTTTCATGCTTCTGTTTTTTATAAAGTGCTCCTTGTTCTTTTCTTTCTGTAGCCTAAGTCTTTGGTGACTGTCTTTTCTTAAAACTCTTTGATGGTCCCCCACTTGCTAGTGATATCTGTAGGGTCAGCTAGAGCACGCAAGCGGTTCCTCAGCTCCAAGCCAAAATCTTTGTTGTGTTTTTTTGGCATTTCAGCAGCTGGGTTGACTGTTTTGTGGCTTTCCTTTGTTTCAGCTTGATGGTGGCTGTTGGAAGTTAGTGGTCACTGTTGACATCGACTTCACGGTTAACTCGAACATCAAGATCTGCTGCACTTTCCATTGATCAAGATGTGGTCGATCTGATTGATAGTGGAACCATCAGGGGACTTCCATGTGAACTTGTGGCTTAATCTGTGGAAAGGTGGTGCCACCAATGACACAGTTGTTGTTCAAGCAAAGGTCAAAGCCATCGCTCGTCACTTCCCGGAGCCGGTCCATCAGCACCCACTAATCTCCAGATTGTCCAGCCTCTGTCTTCTCATTTCATGACGTGCACTGTTTTAGATGTCGTGAACATGGTGCAGATATTCCATGCCGCTAGGCAGATCTTAGCTCTGGGCCCAACTAGAATCTTTTTTTATCTCCTGACTTCCTACTGGAGGCTTTCGTCAGAGCATGGAGTGGTCTCACAGCCATTCGGTTGGCTCAAGTTCACTGTAAGGTCTGTGGTAGTAGGGTTTGTCATAGTTTCCATAACATCCCCTTACAACCCTAAGTCTAGAGCTCATTTGCACTGTGAATATCATTAACTTTGGTCAGCAGGGTGGAACATTTAAAGAGGGGGTGCCTGAACAAAAGTTTGAAATATCAGACTTCATGTGTTCTCCGTTTGTGTCCTTTTTAGCGTCTGCTGAAGGACAGTGTCCAGCTGCAGGAACGTTTCAGTCTGCTGCAGGTGAAGGGGGACCTGCTAGACTCTGTGTTTGGTCCTGAGAAATCTGACGACCTGCAGGACGAGCTGAGTGACGCCATCAGGAACAGAGAGCTGCTGCACACCCAGCTGCAGCAGAGAAAGAGCAGGCTTCAGGTACTAACATGATTGTTATTCATTTGACTTTTCTGCATCTTAAATTTTAATGTAAACTTCCAAACCATTTAGAAAACTGTGAACATATCCCACAGACAAGAAGAAGGTAGCTGGTTTTCTTTTTTTGATGCAATGGATACCTACTTGAGAAGTAGGAAAACAAAACAACAGATAAAAACGTACTCTACTGCTACAAGCACACACTGGAATCTTTAGCCTGTCATGTTTAGCCCATTTATTCTTACTTGTATCTAACATTAATAAAAATAACTGTGTATATATAGAAACAGTACTGTATATGAGGCACATAAGAAGATACACCGTACTGTACAGTATCAGTTTTGAGGCACATCAGATTGTGCGCTGAATGCCTGTTGAATCTTGGTGCTAGGATAGAAATAACATGTAAGCAAAGACATGTTGTTAACTCACAAACCATCTGAATCACACTAGTATTTTCAACAAGGATATTATAGTTTTGATTAATTTTGACTTTGTTTTCAATTTAGTTTTAATTAGTTTTTAACGTGGTTTTGTTAGTTTAGTTTTTATTTTTTGAAAGTGCTTAGTTTTAGTTTAGTTGTTTTTAGTTTCAGTGTTAGTTTTAGTCTTTGTCGCTGCACGATGCCAAGCTCAATTCAGTTTAGTTCAGTCCAGTTTAGTTTTTCACAAAACATTAAAATACAAGTACAATATAATTAATAATACAGATTTGTGAAAGGGACACCCTTTTTTTCTGAAGCTTGTACATAGGGGCCCAAACACTAAGCAAATATATATATTTGAAGTACATTGTCTAAATACGCTGAACAAAATTATAAACGCAACCCTTTTGTTTTTGCCCCATTCATCATGAGCTGAACTCAAAGATCTAAGACTTTCTCTCTGTACACAAAAGGCCCATTTCTCTCAAATATTGTTCACAAATCTGTCAAAATCTGTGTTAGTGAGCACTTCTCAACTTGCCACCTCACAGGTGTTGTATATCAAGATGCTGATCAGACAGCATGGGTATTGCACAGGTGGGCCTTAGGCTGGCCACAATAAAAGGCCACTAAATACTACAAATGCGCATGCAATCTACAGTATAATTTCTAACCTACATACAGAAAAAAGAGCAAACTACTCTAATCCTACTACCCAGTGGTACATCAGTCTCTAGCTCTGTCATTCTTGGTTAAATAGGTGAAATACAATTGATGGACAGCATGAGATTGGAAGACAGCATAGGCCCCCCTTGGAGGCCTCCCTTGGAGCCACAAACGAGCTGGTCCCTAGTACCCTGAATGCAAGCTATGACTGGAAGCAGTTATATTAAAATCTAATAGAGGTAGAGCGGGTTGGCCGTTAATCGGAAGGTCGGCAGTGCAATCCCCGGCTTCTCCAGGTGTCGAAGTGTCCTTGGGCAAGATACTGAACCCTGATTTGAGTGTTTGAATGTGTGTGAATATTAGTTTAAGTGAATGAATGGTGAATATGATGTAGTGTAAAAGCGCTTTGAGTGGTCGAAAAGACTAGAAAGGCGCTATACAAATACAGAGCATTTATATTAATAAATAGAAATGGGTATTATGATGCAATGTGAAGCGCAAAGAGACAGGTTGGCTGAGATATCAATGAGTCCATAAAACACACACTAGCTGACATGCAGTAAATATAATGACCAGCAGACACGTTAACCCAGAGCAAGTCAGTGGGCAAGGGTCAAGTTTATTCCCCACGCAGGATGAGCACTAAGCCAGACCATCAGAACAGAGCACAACAAAACAAGGAAAAGAAAAGCACCAAGACAGAGACTCTACCTGCAAACTAAACAAAAACACTCTGTACAGGTTTTCATATTATTCTGTACACGTACAGGGCCGGCCCTGGGCATAGGCGGAATAGGCAAATGCTAAGGGCGCCGCCCACCCCTTGGGGCGCCCGAGCGCCCAAATTAATTTTTTAAATAATTTTTTTTATTACTAATACAACTTAAATATTATGGATTAAAAAAAGCGATCGTGAATCCTGCATAGTCCGACTGAGTGACGCACCAATCTCCATCGCCCCCGCCCTGCTGAAAAAAAACCCCATCCGTTACCTGTGTGTGATTGTGAGTGACGGATTGGCCGAATTCACTGACACTGATAAGTTGTCATTATGTCAAAAAGACCGAAACCATCTGGTGCCCAGGGAAGAAAAAAAAGAAGAGAAGAGGAAGAAAAACGCGAAAAAGACAGAGGTAGGTAATGATGTGTGATCAGTTTATCTGTGTTGCATTAAGTTAGTTCGACGATCACGATGCCTGTAACGTTCGCTAAATTGAATTGAAACTTGTATTAGAAATGCAAAACTTTCCACATCTGACATCAAAAATTATGACAAACATTGAGCTCCTGACTTTCCTGCACGAGAAGAAGCTGATGGAAATTTTCCCCAATATGTGGGTCGCTCTGAGAATCTCTGCCACTCTACCTGTGACAGTCGCTGCTGCTGAAAGGAGCTTCTCTCTCAAACTGATTTAAAAACTACCTGAGATCTACAATGGCTCAAGAACGTCTCGGTGGACTTTCAGTCATTAGCATAAATCATGTGGTCTCACAACAGCTGTCTTATGATGATATCATAGATGACTGCGGCTAGAAAGGCAAGGCGAGTAAGGCTGTAGAACATTTGCTAAACATTTTGCATAGTGCATTCAAGTTTGTGTATAGTTATTTATTTTTTGTGCAATGGTCTTATTTATAATTTTTGGAATGTTACATATGCTGAAAGCAAGGTTTCTGTAATATAGTTTTTTCTGCAATAACATAATATAATATAATACATATTTATATTGTATCTATAATACGTTGTGTGTTTGTGTTTCCAAAATATTTTCAAAATAAAGAAAAACAAGACAAACCTGTGCAGTTTGTTTATGTGTAAGTTTATGAACAAAAATCCAGGGGCATCAGGTGAAATCTTGCCTAGGGCAGCAAACTGGCCAGGGCCGGCCCTGTACACGTATGTATAAAAAATGATAGAAAACATGTTCAAATCCCACAAACTATGCAGCCGATCCCTACCTGGCTCTCCCCGACTAAGTTAGCCTCCCCCTAACGTGCGGCCGCCCTGACCCCCGGCTCTCTTGACGGATAAAGCAATCGTATCAGGACAGCCACACGACATGCAGCGTGCCAGCTCTTCATGCGGAGCACAAAAGTATAACACACCCGTGGCTCACCAACAGGTGCCTATTGGTTAATCACCGCTGAACTGCCGGTCCGCCAGACCAGCTGCTCAGAAACGTCAGATCCACCGACTTAATATCCACTCGAAATGGGGGCTTATTTAGGTCCTATGAAATGAATAAATAAAACGAAAACAAAGGACAATTTACTCTTAAAATACAGTTCTAGTTTGTTGTTATTTTTTTGTAAAGCCTTGTTTTTATTTTTATTTCAGTTTTCACATATAGTTTTCGTTACGATGTTTGTCTTCGTTAACGATAATAACCTTGCTACTGAACTAGCTAAAACTAGCCTAATCAGGGTCCGACATAACCAATGGCCTGTAAAGGTAGAGAATGGTACGTGGACAGCGTCTTTCTAGTCTTCTGATCACTCAAAGCATATTACACTACATGACACATTCACTCCATTCACACACACTCAAACAATGACACAGCCTTAAGTAGCGATGAGACAAGGCTTGTTTTTTTGCAGCGAGAGGCGCCTTTTATAGTTGTATTCTACAAGTAGTAAGTTGTGCATGCAGCTCCTTGCGCTTTTGCAGGAGCCGGGAGTTGTCGAAATGGATGACAATAGTGGAGGACAAACAAGTGGTGGCTGTTGTAGGATACCTGGAACTATTTTACCAACCATTGTTACCATAATTTTGAACAGAAAACAGCAGCAATTAGTGCCGTACATAGATTTAGTTGTTTACATTCATTTAAACTGTACTAACAGTTAACTGGTAGCATACAGTTCATGGTTTGTGTTAACATTAGTTCACTTTCATTAACATTATCATTGTAACATTTACTGTAGCAAGTTTCAAAGTAACAAGTCTCGCATCATGAAATCAAACTTGTTAGTGTGATTATCACTTGTTCTAAAGAGCCACCTCTTGCCACAGTGTTCAGATGGTGTGTGAGTTAATGACATCTATCTACCGTATCTAATTAATTACATTTTCGCACTCTCAGGGCTTAATCTCAAGAACCAAGGACTTTGGTGATGCCTCTGAGTTGATTCGCTCCAACCTGGCCGGTCTCCGGGATCGACTGATAGCAGCTGACGGCCTCCAACCTGACATCCTGGCTAAGAAAAGCCAGTCAGACCAGTTCAGGGTGAGTTCTATCGCAGGTCAGAGCAGTGCCAAGGCAGAATCAAAAAACCAAAATGTCTGCTGTAACACAAAATGTTCTGTGTTGGCTCTCATATCGTGGCCTCCGAAGTTACAATAGGTTACCACAGTGCAAAGATTGTGACTTGTATGTAAGCTTTGTCATATTGAAGGGACTACAAACGTCTTTTCATTGTACAACCTGGTGTTGTATATTGATAAATAAACAACCTTGTACTTTGTACCTTGTAAATTCTGAGCTAGAAGTTTATATCAAACCCACAGTTGTGTTTTTGTGTTGTTTCCCATGGCATACTGTGTGTCTTGTGTGTCCTCAGGTGATCCAGAAAGACCTGGAGGACTGTGAAGCCCACATCACAGCACTGGAGACTCTGGTCTCGTCCAATCAGAGCAACAGGCCTCAGTTTGACAGGCTCTTTGCTGACTGGAAACATCTGTACAAGGCAGTCAGGGTAAGAGGGGACAGTAGTTTAAAATGGATGAAGGTCTGAATAATTTCTGTCTTACTACAACTCCTCTATAATATCTGATGATGCATCCACCCACAGAAAGCTGCAGCAAACAAGTCTTTTATATTAACAATGGATCGACATAAATGATCACCAATACTGCAGTTCCTTTCCGCTCTTTAAGCTTTGCACTGTGTATTAACTTTCGATCTACACAATGACATACAATTATTCCTTCTGTTTTAATTAGGGCTGGGCACGTTAATGCGTTAATTAGGGCTGGGCACGTTAACGCGTTAATGCATTAATTAATTAACGCCTGTTAACGCAGTTTTTATTTTATTATTATTAGTTTGAAAGCCCCTTTCTCACTGGCTCTGAATACACATACAGTCAAACCATGGCTCACAGGAGGGGCGGGATGTTGATCAGCCTGCAAATCACCCAACCAAACAAGCAGTGGAGGGAGGCCTCAGCAGACTACACTGTCATCTATTTTCCATATTTTTCCATCCTCGATCCGTTGTCACGGCAGCAGGTGAGCCGCTCGCTTGTTATCAAACAACTCAAACAGCCGAAACCAACATCTGCACCCTGTGTTCAATGTTGCTCTGAAGGTTACCTGGTCTGTGCTTATAAAATATCCACCGCGTTTTTAACTGAGTGAAGTCTGTGCGAGTGAACAACGCCCCGACCCCGCTACACCACCTCCCCCATGCCGTCGTCCATCCCGATGTTTCACTGTAGTTTTGTAGACATCGTCCCAACCCTACTGAACAGACTGTTTCTGCTGCTCCCTGATAAAAGATACCTGATGCTGATACCTGTTCAGAAAAAAAGCAAATAGCTTTGGTTTAATATTTGATTTGATTACATTAATGTTTAAGTTCAGATTTACAAGAAATATTTTATTGCTACTGTGTAAAGGGAATACTGCTGGTAAAAAGCACCTTATTTGTTTGAAGTGTTTGCACACCACATGTTATTGCACTTGTGTCTATATAGCAGTACATTCAAATTAAAATTGCACAATACATTACTTTAGAATTCATTATTCAATTTTACGCGTAAGAATGCGATTAATCGAGATCCGGTTCCAAAAGGACCCGGATCCAGAATTTCTCAAAACCCGAAAATCAATAAGGTTCAAGCTTATCGATACTGCTATTGAGACTTGCGGGCTATGATGTAACGTTATGTCTCGAGCGTCAAATGTGATTTAATTTGAAATGCAATGGATAAGAAGATCATCAGGCTAACCCCTAACCCTCTGCCAGCTCCTACACACACACACACACACACACACACGCACAGCGGCAGCAGAGCGAGTTGAATACGGTGAGGGTTAAGTTAGCGCCAAACTACTGTAACGTTGGTTGATGACCGCTACGCTCGTTACTGTAAGTACGTGCAATAAAACCTTCGCAAGTAAAAAGACAATACTTTATCAATACACCTGTCTGTAAGTTAACTTTAAACATGTAGAAATGGTTAATTTAATCATCTCTGTCCTCAGTATCTCATCCTGTATGTTTTATACAAGCACAGCTAACGCTAGCTTGGCATTAGCCAAATGTTAAAAACAAGCTAAATAGAGAGCTGTCTGTCTCCTACTCGGTAACGTTACCTGCAGCCAGCGAGAGAGGAGGAGGGACTGATACAGGCTGATGTTGTTCTTTCTAAACGTCACTCACTGCTTGTGATGTCAGATAAAGTTACTTTGCTGTTGTCTAGAAACAACATTTAGCTGTATTTAAAACAAAATAAAAAAGAACCAGGCAGTTAATATGCACACTTCAATATGTTTATTTATCAAGTGATATGTCATCTCAATATATAACGTTATCGCACATCGAAAATTTTCTTCACACCCTGCAGGCCTACCTCATGCCCGTTGGGTCTGGTCTTACCAAATAACCATCACTAAATAATAGTAAAGTATGCATAGTGGCATCAATAAAGAATCGGCTCGTTAAGCAGTCTCAATAAGGGTATCAATATCAATAAAAATGAACGATCCCCATCCCTACTTGTGATACATGGTGCGTTGGTGTGTTATGGACACTGAACAAAATTATAAATGCTACCCTTGTATTTTTGCCCCATTCATCATGAGCTGAACTCAAAGATCTAAGACTTTCTCTATGTACACAAAAGGCCCATTTCTCTCAAATATTGTTCACAAATCTGTCAATCTGTGTTAGTGAGCACTTCTCCTTTGCTGAGATAATCCATCCACCTCACAGATGTGGCATATCAAGATGCTGATCAGACAGCAGGGGTATTGCCTGTGTTGGACAGTAGCGTGGCTACCAGTAGCGCCGTTACTAGTTTAACTACATTTCTCAGTAGCTTGGTGGTAGCGTCACTATTTTCTGAATTAAATAGCTTTTCAGTAACGAAGCTCTTTCATTGACCGAGTAGCGCGGTAGCTTCCACACAGGCTACATTTTCCCAAGCATTTCTGAAGGATCAGTAAGTGACGCCACGCCACACACGGACCTGTATGTGCAGCTGGCAGAAGCGCTTCCTGTGACGGTGACATCACGTACCGATCCTTGGGATCCTTTCCATGAGAGGAGATCTCTCTCTCTCTCTCTCTCTCTCTCTCTCTCTCTCTCTCTCTCTCTCTCTCTCTCTCTCTCTCTCTCTCTCACACATATTGCCATGAATGTTTAGGTTGCAATGTTGCCAGAGTACAAATTCACATATAAACAATAACAAATATATTATTAATTAATAATGTGATAATTAAGTAACTTTATACAAACAACAATGATTCTCCGTTTGTTGCATGAGGAAATGCATTTAGCTGCAATGATATGGCAGGAAGTAGGAGAGTTTCTGTGTGTCTGATGTAGCTGTCTCTCTCGCACACACACACACTGTTTCCTACTTGCTCCAGAGGCGTTCGACCTCTCGGGTCTCGACCTGACTGCAGCTTCGCACAGCCATTGAAGAGGAGTGGACCAACGTTCCACAGGCCACAATCAACAACCCGATCAACTCTATGCGAAGGAGATGTGTTTCACTGCGTGAGGCAAATGGTGGTCACACCAGATACTGACTGGATCCCCCGGACCCCCCCCCCCCCCAATACAGTGAAACTAAAACACTTTTGAGTGGCCTTTTATTGTGGCCAGCCTAACGTACACCTGTGCAGTCCCCATGCTGTCTGATCAGCATCTTGATATGCCACACCTGTGAGGTGTCAAGTTGAGAAGTGCTCACTAACACAGATTTTGACAGATTTGAGAGAAATAGGACTTTTGTGTACAGAGAGAAAGTCTTTTCATGATGAATGGGGGCAAAAACAAAAGGGTTGTGTTTATAATTTTGTTCAGTGTAAACACATATTTTGCTTCACCTCTGATGCTACAACTTTAGATCAGACATAGAAAACAGGTCTGCCTGAATTTCTTTTCTTACTTGTTTCTCAGGGCTTCTGTACTGGACCCTAATCAGATTAAAAATGTATACTTGTCAAAAGTGACCAAGTACACTAATCAAACCAGCAATTTATATTGTGGTCTGAGTAAAAAATATTTTTAATTTCATTTGGACTGTAAAAGTGGTAGTGTAGCATCTGTTACAGTATTGGAATGTAAAGTTACTGTCTGCACAACGACAGCTATACAAATATATTATGTTTTTTGCCTGCCACTGACTGTCCAGCTGATCTTGTCCTTTTGTCTGCAGGAGAAGATGCGTGAGAGCGAGGCGAGCATAGCAGACCATGAGAGCTTCCACGATAGTCTGCTGAACATAGAGAAGTGGCTGATGATCATGAAACAGAAGCTGGAATCCTTCCACAGCCCTTCAGGAGCATGGAGCATAGAGGGGCGCCAGCACGAAGCTGAGGTGGGTGTGTGTGTGTCTGTGTAAGGGTTTAGTTTAACATTAGGTTTTGGGAGGAAACCTGTTACATTATAAACATTAATGGAGATTTGTCCAGTTTGGAAAATGGAACAGAAAAGTTGCCGGTTTTTACAAAATTTTGATGAGCCTTGAGTAGCTGTAGCTGCTTGGTTGGTTAGCTGGTGATATAGTCCTTTTCATCTGACTTTCTTCATCCACCAATTCCTGGACCCAAAAATCTGACTTGGCAGAGCTCAACACTCATCCTCTATCAGCACTCATCATGGTTCCAATTCTATTCTCGCCTATCGCTCTGTTCCTCGTGCAGCCCTGGGACTCTCTGATCACTGTCTGGTTCATCAGTTTTTGTGAGGACATGTGTGTGCCGACTAAAACCTTCCGCACATACAACAACCAAAAACCCTGGTTCACAGCGAAACTCAGGCAGCTTTGTCAGACCAAGGAGGAGGCCTTCAGAAGTGGGAACAGAGTCCTGAACAACCAGGCCAGGAACACTCTGACTAAAGAAGTCAAAGCTGCAAAGAGGAGCTACGCTGAAAAGCTAGAAAACAGCTTTGCAGCCAGCGACCCTGCGTCAGTGTGGAGAGGCCTGCAGACACTCACTACTAAGTACAGAAGACCATCCCCCAACTCTGCTGAGTTGAGTAGGAGTGGCTGACGAGCTGAATGGATTTTACTGTAGGTTTGAGAAGCCCACAGTCGCACCTCTCCCACTCCAATACCATCTTCAAACAGTCACCTTCCCCCACTGCCATGCTGACAGCCCCCCTCCCCGACCCCTCACCTGCACTCATGATCTGTGAAGAGGAGGTGAGCCAGCTCTTCCAGAGGCAGATCAGGAAGGCTCTTAGCCCAGACAGTGTGTCCCCATCCTGTCTGAAAATCTGTGCAGACCATCTTCACACAGATCTTCAACAGATCACTGGAGCTGTGTGAAGTTTCCTCCTGCTTCAAACGCTCCACAACGCCCCCAGGCCAGGGTCCCCCACTGACACTCCCCCCTTGCAAATAATAGAAATGTCTCTGCACATGTAAATATTATTTAATTTCATATCGTGCACAAACCTGGCACATTGCACATATTTGTTGTTAATTGTTAATCTTTGTTGTTGTGTATTTTTATATTGTCAATTTATATATTTATGTTCACAATATTCTCTTCCGTTGCAGCACGTCTGCACAACACAAACCCAGAATAATGCACATGTAAAAATCTGCGACGTTGTTCTTTCTCTGCAAATAGTTGTTTTCTTTTTCTGTATTCTTTTTATTCTTTAACTCCAGAACTTGCATTGTCTATTCCATATTTATATATTTCTACATTTTTTTTATGTCAACTGTATGTTGGTCTACGTGTAGCACCTTATCACTAAAGAAAATTTGTTGTATGTGTAAAACACTACTCCTTCTGATTCTGATTCAATCATCCTGGTCCCAAAAAAACCCCTCCATCTCTGGACTAAATGACTACAGGCCTGTCGCCCTGACACCTGTAGTCTTGAAGTCCTTTGAAAGACTGGTGTTGGGCCACCTGCTGGACCCCCTGCAGTTTGCTTACAGGGCTAACAGGTCTGTGGATGATGCAGTCAACCTGGGTCTGCATTACATCCTGCAACACCTCGACTCTCCAAGAACTTATGCAAGGATCCTGTTTGTGGACTTCAGCTCAGCGTTCAAATTCCTCGCATGTGTACACATACCTGGCAATTCATAGTTTTCAGTCACGTGACATGCGCAGTGACCTGGAGGGCAAAACAACGGACCAACATAGTGTCTCACGCTGCAACTCCCCCCGTAGAGACGCCACAAAAACAGTACACTTTTATGTGTTCATATAATACTGCATATCCAATCCATATAACGTTACAGCATCTGCTGCCGCATTTCTACCATTAAAAACCGCCATTACCGCATTCAAGCGGTGGCAGCACCGCTTGAATGCGGTAATGTTTTTTTTTAACCTTCTGCGGAATCCCAAAGCACAACAACCATCCAGCATTTTGACAAAGTAACAAACTGAAAGCAGCAGTGTATCACTTGCTTCCTGGTTGGCAGGCAGCGGAAAATAACGTCTTTTTTGCCCTCCAAGGGAGTGTTTTCCTTGGAATGTGACGTCACGTGAAAAAACTATGAATAAAACTGATTCTGAGTTCTCTGACCATGTTGCTCTTTAAGATCAAAATAAGAAGCACAGTTAGTCAAGATGACTTTATTCAAGTTTAAGAAATTATTCCTCTGACTCAATTTAAAGATATCCATTCCAAAAATGAACACTGCTGGTTCAACGAAGGTTGAGGTCAAGGGCAACTGGACTTGGTAGAAGATACTAGAAGACGTTTCGTCCCTCATCCAAGAGACTTCTTCAGTTCTGACTGACTGGTGGGGAAACTCAGCTATTTAACCTCTGGGATCATTCGGTAGGATCTTCGATACCATTGGTTCGTTTGTACCACGGTTACCGCAGCCAGGAGCACTATGTGTCTTCAACATGGCACTTCTATCCCTGGAACCCTGACACCCTTCTATCTTAAAAACCTGTGGACAATAACAAAAAAGTAAACACAAAATAGACAATGCTAAATAGAATTTTGCAAATAAATAAAGTCATTAAAAAAGCAAGGGATAAAAATAGAATGAAAGTCAATAATTAAGGTGTGACGACCCCGGCTCTCAGGCCGCAACAAAGGAGGAGGATGCAACTCCAGTTTAACAAAGATTAATAAATTTATTTAAAACAACAGAAAAGAAAAGGACAACGTGGTAGAGCGGTGTGGAAGGCGCAAGCACCGACACTGGCGCAAGCACCGAAACTGGCGTCTGGGCATCTGGCCATGTGCTCCCAGTTGCCTTGATTGAGGAAAGAGACAGCACTCAGGTCCTGCAAAGAATTAAGAAAGGTCAAAGGGTTATGATCTGTGAAGACCACCACAGGCACAGAACTAAATACACATGAAAATGCTGCAAAGCCAAGACCAAAGCTAAGGTTTCCTTTTCAATAACTGAATAATTCAGCTGGTGTTTGTTGAATTTCCTTGAAAAAGAAACGGACTGGCTTGTCAACCCCCAAATCATCAGCCTGCAAGAACACTGCACCTGCACTCACATAGCTAGCGTCTATCTCAAGTTTGAAAGCCCAAATAAAATAAGTGACTGTAGCCTTTGCAAACTCGCACTTGGCCAGATTAACGGTCAGCTGTGCGTGAGCCAAGCGGTCAAACAACCAACCAGCATCCAAATGTTTACGTTTCTCCAGGTGAACACGATAAAACCTCTTTTTAATCTGTTTACAATCCCCAACATCTATATCATGCGCAACCATATGTGTGCGGGTAGGGGTATCACCAAAAAGACATGGATATTGCTTGATCAGGTCAGCTAACTGGCTACGCCAAGACTTAACAAGCCATCCAGATTCCGAATAGACTTTGAGTTCTTAAGCCGACCATATAGCACTGCTTCGTCTAGGCCTAACAAATTCTCCTCTTCTTGACCTACACATCCTGATTGGACACAGATACAGACAAGCAAGCTGGATGCACATCAGAATGCTGTGCTTCAACTGACTGCTCTACACGAGAATAGTATGGTTTTAGCAAGTTGACATGACAGAGCTGAGTGGACGATCTACAACTGGGAGTAGCAATCACATAATTCTGGTCTGACACCTTTTTCACCACAGAGTATGGCCCTGAAAACTTTGTCTGAAATGGAGAAGTAAAATGGGCAACAGAGGAAGCACCTTATCTCCTGGCAGAAAAACACGATCCTCAACTTTTCCTCAAGTTTTTTTCATTTTGTCTTGTGCAGACGCCAAATAATTTTTAGGGAACCAAGACATCCACTACTTCCACCATGAGTCAAAACATAATCATAAGCTAAAGCGGCGGCTTCAGCTGCCGTCTTCACCTTCTGTTCACTAATATAGGTGGCGATGCGCTCCGGTACAGAGTTTTTAAACTGCTCCAAGATCATCAGATCCCGCAGAGCCTCATGAGAATTAACCTCAGCTGCACCACACCAATAATCTAATTCACGAGCAAACTCCAAATGCAATCACCTCTTTTCCAACCTCTAAACCGTTGGCGATACACCTCAGGCACCAGTTCATAGGCCTTAAGGACAGCAGATATTACCACAACATATTTCAACCCATCACTGTCACTCAGAGAAGAATAAGCCTCCTGGGCCCTGCCGGTTAACACACATTGTAACATTAATGTTCGAGTGGCATCACACGTGCCTCAGCTAAACGCTCAAACATTGACAAAAAAGTTTCAGGATCTTTTTCATTAAACCTGGGAATGAGCCTCAAATCAGACTGCCTGCAATCTGCCACAGAAGAATTATCAGTAAAAACCAGGACATCAGCTGCAACTTTCCCTTCTCTAATCAACGTCAATTTCTGCTTTTCTGTCAATCTTTGCCTGTTTGCACTTTCTCCAGCTCAATGTCCTGACGCAGCTTCTTTCTTAGTCTCCAACTTCATACATAACACTAGTAACTCTTTTTGCTGCTCAAAATTCAAACCAGATCCAGGAGACACTGAGTAGGCAAACCTGCGGAAAAACTGACCCTCCGTGGTGCCCAGCACTTTCATCTTTAACAAATTAATTTTTAAATTTGCTCCTGTTATCGCCAACATCACTTTTGTAATAGTCAGCTATTTTAACAAACTCATCCCTTGAACACTGCTTGGCTGGTGCCTCAACAAATGCCTTTACAACGTCATCCATAATTTACCAGACATTCGCAAACACAAGGGGAAAAAATGAGAATGCACAGTGCAAGGACCTACCAGTGTGCGCAAAAGGCCGACGTAGCCTCTAAACGGAGCCTCCCCGTTAGCTAACTACCTAACCTGGAATCTTATTACATAACCCCCCCCCCCCCTAGTGTTCATGAGGCGTGGCGGCGGGTACTTACGCACCATCAGCCCACTGGCCCGAGAGAAGCAACCGGTAAACTGGCAACCACCTCGGAACCACAGATGTGCTCCTGAGGGAAAAGGGGAAAAAGTAAGCTCTAACCGCCGTACCCCAGCACTAATCACCTTGATTGCCTGCTGAGGAAAACACACCGAGACCACACAGCACACAGGTCCACAACAAGAGCTCTTGGGGCCGTCACATAAGGCAACAAATGACAGTGCACTTTAACTAAAAGCAGTCTAAAAAGATATGTCTTAAGGTTTCTTTTAAACATGGAGCCTGGGGCCACAGTGGCTAAAGACTCCCCATGTGTGGGACAAGTGAGACAAGTTGTCATAAACTGGAATAATCCTTTAAGGTGCTGTTATGGCGGCTATATCTTTGGTACAAACAGTGTTTTTTAAATTATTGAGATTTTTGGGTTGATTTATTTTTTTAAGACTTAAATGAATGAAAATATATGGGTGAAGCCAACTACTAATTTAAATGAGATACTGAGCTTGTCTGCTATTGGCTGGGCTTTGAAGCTAGATTATGTCTGTCTGTTGTGGTTTGTTGCTTAGTTAATTGACAAGTGTGTGTGTAGAGTTGTTTTCTCAACACCAGCTAGACTGACAGATGACAGTATATGAATGCTGTAACTGAAAATAATTAATGAAATGAAAGATTTTGAAAACCGACCTATACAAGAATGTTCAACAATTCCCACTAAGAGCGACACAGGTAAGTCTGTCTGTATGTCACACTGTATGAAGTTCACTAACACAAATGAATTTCTTGGTAACTCTGATGTTGACACAAATTATCGTCATCATGATTGCTGTATGATGAAAACAGTCTGTTATGCCTCTGTGACTTTTGGCCTCCTCTCTCTGCGTACCGTGTATTTTGTTCCATTCCATTTATTGTTCCATTGTCCTTGTCCACAGAGAGCACTTGGAGAGTTTCCAGAGAAGGAGCTTCAGCTGCAGCATATGGAGGTCCAGGGTCAGGGGGTTCTGGAGAAAACATCTGAGGAGGGACAGGTCTATATCCTGCGAGACATGAAGCGTCTACGAGAGTCCTGGTTGGCCCTGTACAACATGAGTCTCAATCTTCACAGGTACCTGAAGACATGAGAATGATGCTTAGTGTGTGTTGACAGTTAGTTACTCTTTACTCAGTTTTACTGATCACTCTGACTCCTTGTGTACACCCACTGCATCGGGAAGCAGCTCAGCAGCAGCAGTTTCAGTCCTCCATTAGTGTCCTGTGATGGACATCAATACAGGTGGACCGGTGGACATGGGCAAGCCAGCTAAGGACACACAACGTTTAAATAAGACAACTTTAGAATTACTGGAAGTGAAGTTTCTCCATTTGGTAGAAGCTAGCCATCCCCCAACGCTTCAAGCATCCCAGACCAGTCTCCTCACAGTGAGGACAAATTGATATTTACCCATCTTCTAATTCCCAGTAAGACATCGAGCCCCCAATGTCAAAATAAGGCAGCGTTACTGGATAGCAAATTAAATGTAATTACCGAATTTCAAATTATTATTTCTTACACTACTTCTTGCTGAAAAAATAATGACATTGCTGTAACATGCTACTAAGTGATGTGTTACTGGCCAAACACTGGTGTTTACATGAAACGACAGAAGCATGTTGGCATTGTGCACAGGCCAATATACAACCAATGTAGTAATGCATACAAGTTGGGGCAAAAGTTATGTTATGAATTGGCAGTATCTACCTGAAAAAGCAAAACAGCAGGTGGTAGTGGTAGACTCCACAGCTCCAGAGCCAGAAACACCTGCAGGAAGTGATAGGAGGAGAGAGGAGAGGGACGAGAAAGCACAAGACTACCAGAAAGGGGAGAAGTTGTGTTAGTAACATGCAATAATGGGATGAGGTTGCATACAGAGGGAGAGAAAGTAGAGGAGAGAGGAGCTCAGTACATCATGGGAAGTCCCCCGGCAGTCTAGGCCTATAGCAGCATAACTAAGGGATGGTTCAGGACTCACCTGAGCCAGCCCTAACTATAAGCTTTATCAAAGAGGAAAGTCTTAAGCCTACTCTTAAATGTGGAGATGGTGTCTGCCTCCTGAACCCAAACTGGAACCTGGTTCCACGGGAGAGGAGCTTGAAGCTGATGATACACGGAACAACTTTTAGAGTTGTTGTTGGGCAGTATTGCCGTTAATGGGCAACCAGGTGAGACGCAGGACAACTAACTAAAGGGCGATGGACAGACAGCGTTCGCTGCAGCAGACTGGCCGGCCGGTGCGGTCGCAGATCATAAAGTAAAACAGAAACTGAAAAAGAAAAACTCCTGACCCCTGGCTGGTTCGGCCTGAAATGGACCGGCCGTTGGGGATTGCTCCCAAACGCCACAATGGCCAGTCTGCCCCTGGCTTCAACATTTGTTTTTCTTAAGAATCACATAAAGCGCAAAATTGAGTAGATACTTGGTTAATTTGCAGTATTACAAGTATTACATACATTAATTCAATTACATACATTCTTTCTCTTTTTTTGATGTGTCAGCCTTCAAAATGCTAGAAGTATATTGGGCTCTACAATGTTTCTAAGGTCTAGAATGAACATTCAAGCTCAGTCACTGGAATGTTAAGATAAGTGGTTGTGTACAGAATATAAATGTATTCATATAAACAAACAATAAACAAGAGCTTCTCTTACCTCAAGTGTATGACTGCTCAAATTTCATGCCAGGAAAAAAAACTGGATGGAGGCAAGAATGTTCAACGGTGTCTTTGTGTTGTTATGATGCATTAGACTTACAGCTGCTGAGTTATGAAAACAACTGTCTATTTCTTTCTCTCCCAGGCTGCTGAACAGCTCCAAAGAGCAGACAGAGTCTGACTTGAGGAGAGTTGGAGGCCTGACTGTGGGCAGCACATCCCTAACAACAGAGCCCAGTCTGGGGGAGGGGGACAGTCAGGTCAGGACGGGAAGCTCCAGGAGCCAGAGACGCCAACAGCAAGACAAGACAGCAGAGGCTAGCTCTGAGCCTGCAGGAGGAGGACCACTGGAGGGGGAGGCAGGAGACTGCGCGATGACTGGGCAGGGTGGGTGGATCCAGGGCTATGGTGAAGATCACCTCATTCTGCCTAGACAAGACAATGAGTATTTCAGCCCATCAATGACAGGCAAGGACAGTGGGCGTTCTTTTAAAGGAGATGAAGTTGATTCCTCTGCTTGGAGCATTCACAGCAGATCAGGCCAGAAGGTTCCCAAAGACACCACCACTGATAGAAGCCCTGACAGTGATACATCAAGAAGACGAAGAAGGGACCCAGCCAAGCAACCAACCGCAACACCAACGCAACACACAATGGTATTGTAGTGCAGTGTTCATACGTCCTACTCCTTGGTTGACTTTGCAGAGTAGAAAAGTGGGCCGAGCCAGTGCGTTTCAAAGTTTACTTTCAATGATAAACAATGTTCCTCCACACAGAAACACAGGAGGAGATCATTTAACAGTACCATAGGGTTATGTTGGCTTTCCTCCATTAATGTAGTACTAAATACTACAGTACCCCTGAGTATCGCATGCAAACTGAAACTGATCCAAAAATACACAGGTGAACTGAATCAAGTATTTAAATTATTACCATAATGCTTTCTGGGACTTGTAGACAATTTCTCTCAACCCAGAATTTTTCAACACAGTGGATCATTGTTTGAACTGATCGTTCTTACCCATGTTAGAGGTGGGGAATATCCAGTCATGCAAAATTGACTGTGAGGACAAAAATAGGGCAGTGCAATTAATTGATTTTAATCATGATTTTGATTTTGGCTTCCAACGATTATAAAAACCAGTTAATTGAGATGAAACGATTATTGTGCTGCGCGCTGTTTCTCAAAGACACTCAATTTGTCTTGTGTTGTAAATCCAGCTCACCCTTTCCTTTACTGCTGCGCCTCTGGTCTCTCCCTGGCAGTCCATCCAGCCCCCCAAACCACCCTCCTCCTGCACTCTAAGATGCTGTTTAAAGTTAAGCAGTCAATTAATGTTTCTTATTAAAAGGGCAATTTGGGATTTTGGAATAAGGCATAATCATTTTTAAATATGAAGCAAATTCAGTAAATGCATGGCTTCCTAAGGCAATCAATAATTGTGTTAAATAATCGTGATCCCCGTATTGACCATAAAAAACGTGATTATGATCTTTGCCATAATCAAGCCCTAACCCTGGCAAGGCTCAATCACAGATCCCCTTTCTGCATGGCCAATACTATGCAGAAAACACACTGTACAGGTCAGCTGACCAGTCACGACATGGTTGCTTACACTGACCGTAAACACAGAAATTCAAGTTTATTCAAACAAGATAACTGCGTCTTCAACAATATTGACTAAAAGAGAAAGACAGCATCACACTGCAATTCTATGAACAGAAAGTAAGAAGAAAGAAAAATATTGAATCGCAGTTGTCTTGTCTGCTGTGCAGCATTTATTAGTATCACAGCACATACTGAGTGCAGACTAGAGTGTTAGCCACATGTAAAGTACTACTCCAGTGATATTACAGAGATAACAGATCTCTTGACAGCAGCCATGTGACAGTTTGAGCATGAAACTACACAAACTACCAGATAGCCATCACAACCCTCCTCAAATTAGACATCAAACAACAGCTGATCTAGCAGAAAATAAGCTAAATTCATATTGCTTAATGAATGATAAGAGTGAATGGACTCTAGTCATTTAATTATATGATTTTTACAGCTGGGCACATTTCTCTATTCTGAGGGTTGTTGGTACTGTTGACAGGCTTTCATGCCATCTTTTAGTACATACTTTGGTCTTTTGCTGCTACGTAATCAGCACAAAAATGCTAATGAGGGTAGAATTACTAAAAAAGTTCCAAATTCCTACTCTAAACTCAAAAAATGGTGTATGATGACTTGCTGACACAGTGTTAGTGTGGGCTGTGCAAGAGTTTTCTAAGTTGTTTGGGGTTTTACAGGGGGGCACAGAACAGAAAACATCCAGGAGGAGGGAATTTGAAGCTTGGCTGTCCAAACAAAATGACCTCCTCTCCAGGATCCTCAGTACCAAGGGAGCAACGCTGCGTGCCAAAGAACTCAAGATCCGACAGGACACACTCAAGGTGAGTTTCTGTTAAGGTGTTCTTTTTACAGCTCAGTATGTAGTTGTAGTGTGACGCTACCTCTTGTTCTTGGAGGAGGATGTAAAGACTGTACTGTTTTCACCAGCTCTTTGTTAAGTGCTGAGTATGTCTACAATGCTAAAAGAGGTGGTATTCTGCTTTTTGGCTTTTCCCCCTTTATTGAGTTACATACCTTTTTGTGCATGTAATAGGTTTGAAAAGTTAAAAAGCCAAAGGGGGAGTTCCCATCTCCCACAGAAAGCACTGCTCTGAACTGCCTGAAAACAGCTCGATTGTAGTCCAGCCTTTTCTTCCGCTTTCTTGTGATGTCACAAGAAAACACTCGTCATAATGCTCGCCTAGCAGCTAGTCAGACACGCCCTCAAAAACACTGATGGAAAAACACACTGAGCTGCAGCACACCGTGACGAGACGTTGGCCTGCTGCCTCCCCTCTCCCTTCCAAACACTAGCTACCCTCCAGACAGTTAATGGAGTTAAAGTTGTTACCGTGATGTAGAGACAGCGCACAACTAAAACAGAGCGTTCAACACAGGGTGAAAAGAGGAGCTATGTGCAGTATGACAAAAATATGGTGTTTGTTGAACACCATGTAACCTGTTCTGGTACAACCCTTAAATAAAATAATAAGCCTAAAAATGAGCATAATATGACCACTTTAAATGCTTGTGGTTGTAACCTTGATTAAAGAACCTGAAACTGAAGTTTTTGCAGGTACTAATTACACTGACATTATTGCTAAAGCAAAGCAGAGTTTATAAGATGTCTGTATGCATTTTCTCACTTCCAAAGCAGCCATTGGGCACATATCAGTGCATGATATAGGTAGTCCACCACAGTGATTACTGTAACTAGGGCTGACCCCGAATAGCCAAAGATCCAATGCTTTGATGAGCGTAGCCCGATTTGACTGCCAATCTCACCGGTGAAGCTTTGCAGCAGCATTATGAAATGAGGATCATGCCATTCAGGCGATATAGGGGTGCTCAATGTCTGATTTAACATAGAATATTTGATTTCTCCCATTAACTTAATGTCCAGCCTATTATCATATACAATGCTGTAAATAAAAATGTGGGAAAAAATAAGCTTTTAATAAATCTTTTTAAAGTGCGTAAAGAAATCCAAAATTGCAACCCTGGCCCTCAAGGAAGCGGGCATGTGCGTCATTGGGCATTTGTGGCATAGCGTGTGTATGTGTGTGTGTGGTCACCATTGATCACACAAAGAATATATTGTTTTTAAACAGTTACTTGGGATAGACCCGCGAGAAACCGCGACTTGCATGCAGTTGTTATAGTTTTTCAATGAAATCACTTATTGATAAATCAAAATTTCACTGCCTTATTGTCAATGGGCTGTAGCCTCACTTATAAAGAAAGCACACACCACTATTCTTCTTTCAATGTGAAGCCACCGGGTTGGGAAGCAGCTACACGCACGCTCTTGAGCCTCTCTGCGACTACAGCAACAACACAGCAGCAAACGACATGCAGTCCACCAAAACCATAAAACAAGCGGCTCCCAGCACAACACAGACTCCAACATAAACTCCACATAAGCATAGAATCAACAAGAAAGTTTTATGTGATGAAGTCTGTCAGGCCAAACCAGAATCAGATGATGTTGGTGAAAACGGTGAACATCGGAAAGGCTGGAGTCACAAAGAGAGTCACTTTAGCTCCCTGGCAACATTTTCCTGTGTAATATATAATATGTAATGTTATGGCTTTCCACGTTACTTCACCTACTAATGCACCGAATATTACTGTCCTGTGTACCATATAAAGTTCTGCGGCGCTTTTCATCTTTACTAAAAAAAAACATAACGCAATAAAACTATTTGACAAAAAACAAAGTTTGACAACTCATCACACATGACTTCACTTGTGCTCCACAAAATACTTTAAAAGTTCCTTTTATCAACTGCCTCCACCCTTTGTTTACAGTCTATGGCCTCCAAGGGGCTTCTCAGGGTTTTCCGAAGGGCCTTGCTCAGCGTGGGCGGAGTCAAACGTTTAACGCCGCCCATGATGAGCACCGCCCCGATCTGCATACTGCAGTCAGGGGCTTCTGTGCGTTTCTGCGCTGATTGTGGGATTTTGGTATGAAAGCGGTTGTGTTTGGGATTATGCTCAGTCATGAGTTCAAGCGAGCACGCGTACGAGCACACGCCTGGTTGCAGGTGTTTCTCACAGGATTTTGTGAGGCTATAGTGGGAGGACCTCGGACTCTCTTGGGGGGTTGGGAGGCATGCCCCCCAAAGAAAATGTTGTAAATTTTAAAGTTAAGTGCATTAATCTGTAGCACTTTGAGAGAAAAATTAGGCTTGATCTATGAAGAACTTGGCACTCTTGCAAACAGTTTTGTGCTCTTGTAAACAATTTGATCATAAACACCTTGTATTGATATAAATGGTGATAACAGCAAATAAATCAACAAAATTACTTTGTGATTTTCAAGCAAACAAAAATTAAAGAAAAAGTCATTTCCCTAACATTTTAGTGTTTTTTTTTTAAAAAACTTTTAATGGAAACATGTATGTTTTATACGTCCTGTGAACGAACATAATCCAATTAATCTTATTTCCATACTGTATATACGTTGTGTTAACACTAGGAGTGTGATGAGACACATTTTCGATAAAGCAAATGTAGCTAGTCTACGATACAAGCAAAGAGAGGCCCATCTAGAGCAAATCCCCTGGATACAAAGAGGCTGAAGCTAGAAATCCAAGCTGAAGTAGCCTGTAGCAGAGCTTTGATTCTGTTTTCTTTTTTTTTAAACTGTTTTATACATCCAAAGAAACCAGATCCGTCATCTAATTGAGACCTGCATTTATTTGTCAAAACATCTCACACCCAGCCAGTAAAAGGAATCTGCATCTAATTTGGGCTCAGCCTTTTATTAAAGTTTTACAATATTATTTTAATAATGTGTGAGTTAAAAACACAGTCCTGCCTGAGACGACTCCTGAATTCAGTGAAGAAATTATTCATATATATATACACACTCACTGGCCACTTTATTAGGTACGCCTTGCTAGTACTGGGTTGGACCCCCTTTTGCCTTCAGAACTGCCTTCATTCTTCATGGCATACATACAAACATTCCTCAGAGACTTTGGTCCATATTGACATGAAAGCATCACGCAGTTGCTGCAGATTTGTTGGCTGTAATTCAATGATGTGAATCTCCCGTTCCACCACATCCCAAAGGGTGCTCTGTTGGGCTCTATCAGATTGCACAGGTAGTCCAACTCCTCCAGGATAGCACGTCCATACGTGCCATTTCAGCAAAGTCTCAAGAGCATGGAGTAGATACCAGGACACGGGCCGTTACATGAGGAGAGCTGGAAAGGGCTACAGAAGGGCATCATCCCAGCAGCAGGACCAGTATCCAGTGGGCTAGTGATGTGCATGTTTCTGACCACACTGTCAGAAACAGAGGATAAAGGGTAGCATGAGGGCCCAACGTCCTCTAGTGGGATCTGTGCTCACAGCCCAGCACCGTGCAACTCAATTGGTGTTCGCCAGAGAACACCAGAATTGGAAGGTCTGCCATTGGCGCCCCATTCTTTTCACAGATGACAGCAGGTTCGCACTGAGCACATGTGACACCGTGGTGAACGTTATGCTGGCTGCAACACAACGGGAGTGCATACAGGCACGCGGGGACCATAAACACTACTGAACCACATAATGAGTTGCCATGATGAAAGTCACGCACATTGGATCAGCCTGTGATCATCATTAAACAATATAACCAATAAAAATGAAGAACAATGCTTGTTGGATATACCAACATGTTCAGGTCCTCACTAGTAGTTGTGGAGAGGAGACCATCACGAGGGACTTGAAGTCAGTGGCTGTCAGAAATGGGGATGCAACACACAGTCAAACTGTTTAAAACTATTTCTCCAAGATAAAATACAGAAGAAACACAATGAAGAACCTCAAACCAAAGCCTCAAAAATGTGTGGATAGATTGGCTGTACTCTGATTGAATGAATGTCTCAGGGCAGATACTGACTTTGTTCAGGGATGAACTGTACCTTCCTTCAAGAGAGATGATGCTTCTAAGGTTATTAATATTCTATCTTTGTAACTTGTAAATTTATTGGAGGTGATAACTGTTGTTGGACATAACATGTTGGTTTTTATTAACCACCTCTTTTCTCCCACAGCTATATGTAAACTTGTTTTAAGTATGCTTACTGTTCATTATAAAGTTTGCCTGAGGATATGGAAAAGCCAGAGGAGACTATTGCACAAACCTCTTGTGTTTTAGAAGTTTCTGTTCTGTTCGGTCGTTTCTGAAATGGAAGTAACTCTGAACAGATACCGGGAACTTCCTGTACTAATCCATTATACCTAAAACACTCTGCTGTCTCCCGGTGCAGCCTCTGGTGGAAGGAGTGTCCTGGGGTCAGGAGCAGTTCCAGCTGTTGCTCCTGGAGAGTCAGGGCAGTGAGGCTGGTTCTGGACCAGCAGAAGATGTGTGTCTGGAGGAACTTCGCTACCGATGGATGCTCTATAAGTCGAAACTGAAGGATGTGGGAGATGTCAGGGCTAGGACCAGTGCCAAGGTGAGAGGGAAGCTGACTATTGGTCATATACTGTAGTCAGAACTGCCTGTGTTTTAATTCACAGAAACGTATTGTTCATGCATGCAACAATCCTAACTTGGTAGAAAAATCTGTGTAATGTGCATGAGAAACCTAGCAGGGCCAACATGAAGGCCAGCTCTATTTGTTGCCATTCTCTACTTGCATAATGTAGTGTACATCCTTTTAACAAACTGCACATCAGTTTACTTCTAACCGCTAACTTTTCACAGTTAGCTCTGTACCAATCTTAAATTTTTTTTTTTATCACAGGTAAGCTAACGTTATGTTGCTATGGGGCTTTTTTACTCAGTGCTTGGAAGAGCTGCTCGCTTTCACAAGACAGTATATGTCAGTCATTTTTGGCAGCTCTTCCAAGCACCGAGTGTAAAAGAGCCATACCAACCAGAGCCCAACTGAAATGGGATTTTTAAAACCAATACCATTTTGATATTTGAGGATAATCCGTGTATGGTTTGTTCTTTCATTATTTAGTTTCAAAACCAAATCTGAAAAAGCAAAAAAACAAGTTGTTTTTTGTTTTTTCAGTTTTAAAACCAAAACAGATAAACAGAAAACAATAAAAACAGACATCGGTTTTTGTTTTACTGCAGATACGCTTGGGTGATAGCGGTGCCTGATTAAATGTAATTACGATGAGCTTTAACATCAACACAAGTGGGTTTTTAGTTGTAAAAACAGGACAATATTACATCTAATGGAACACTGCAAACATGAACTGTTAGCCTATTAGTTAGTTCGGCGAACTGTATTATATATATTAACTAATCATAAACGGATTACAATGTGTGGGTAGTTTTCGTTTAGCCTCTCTACACTGTTTTGACCTGACCTTTATTTTCTTTGTGAGATGGAAGAAATTAGAAAGTTGCGCAGTGCTGTGGAGAGCCTCCAGCTACAGCAGCACATGGGTTAGGCTATGCATAAAATCAGGAGCATCGGACGACCACTGACCGTCCAGTGCACACAATCCATAGTAGGGCTAACGGAGGTGGAGCGGGGGGCTGGAGCGTAGCCTACAGCAGTGGTTCCCAACCTGGGGAGGGCGCCGGAGATCACAGGGGGTGCCCAAAGCTTTATCCGTTTTGAGGTTGTCAAAAAAACTTTGATTTGCACATTTAAAAAAATCGTGATAACACACTAGATAATTTATACCAAGGTCTGTACACATTTTTTTTTTCCTCACTTAAAATAGTAGGCAGACTACTTAGATATAGGGCTGTAATTGTTTTGAAACAAAGACCAAAATCGCGACACAAAAGTCCATGATCTCGTGTCGCAGATCCGAGAGACAGAACCGCGACACACCACAGCAACTGTGGTGGCGGCGGCTGTTGGGGGGTGGGCTCGGTAACGGTGTATATTGTAGGCTATTTGTATTAACAGTAGGTTATTGTAGGTCATTTTCCACCTTATAGTTTAGTGTTTATTTACTTGAATCTGCTCTTCTCCCCACACTCACACACACCTAGCCTGCACCTCTGGTCTCTCACGGCAAACACGCCGGCTGTCTCAGCTGACTTTCTTCATCAGCAGTACGTTTCATAAAGTCGCCCTGTTTAATAAACTCACCCGTGATTGAATTTTCAAGTGCGCCGCATGTGAACGAAACTGAAACTTAACGTTAGTGATTGACATCTGCAGTGGTGCATTCACTGTCGCCCCTTAATGTAATAAATGCTAAAGTGGTTTACTAAATATACTTTGGCAGGTGCAACTGTACCTGTCTGGCCCGCCCAAGTAAAGTATAGGCCTATGTTGAAAGCACTTAAGTTATTGCAAGCTGTAGGCCTGTATTTTGTGGATATTACACCTTAACAAAACAAAACACCAGGAGACTGGTGGTGAAGGCCAATCAAGAGCTGGCACAGATTTGTCATTCGCTATTAGTAATTACATAATATTTTCCTGTGTGCGTGTCAGCTGTTGGGGGGGCTCAGCTTTTCTTAGATAAAAGTAGAGGGGGTGCCAAGTAAAAAAAAAAAAGGTTGGGAACCACTGGCCTACAGGGCTCCTCTGTAGTTTGCAACCTGGCCATAGCCTTGAGAAAAAAACCTTGATAAAGATATTTGGGTATTTTCTTATATCGCTCAGGTACCAGCTGCTTCAGATCAGCCCAAAACAAAATGCTTCCTTGATGGTGACGTAATTAAGTTAGAAACTTGAGTGTTTGAGGCTCTGTAATATAGTGCTCACTTCTACAATCATATTCGCCACAGTTGATATGAGATGCGACCTGAAAAGAAATAACCTTATATATAAATATAAATATTTAACCTAACCTTGATTTTTTTGTTTAACAGGGGACATGAACACAAGTCTCCTCATTCAAAGGGTTCTGGCCTCCTTTCACCCCAACCATTTTATGTCTTTTCTGTTAAATATCATATACCTGCCTTTACTGTCACAAACTGGCGCTACAGGGCTTCCCCCACTGCCTATGACGCTATAGGGAACCCCAGTGCGTTACAAACGCCAATAGGCCTTGACAATGCGTCCATATGTGACGAGTCGGGATGTGAGAACGGGTTGTAGGGATACAGCACCGGTCAAAGAGAGAACAAAACGCAGCGCCTTTGTGATTCTTTTTCACAGCAGCACCGCATGCCGCTTGTTAATTACGTAGCATATCAATGTCATCGTCCATCTCGATGTTTCATTGTTGCAAATTTTGAAGACATCACTCAACCCTTATTTGAATACATTTATTTACTCTGCAAGTCATTTTGCGACTGCATCTCCTTTGTTTGTTTCTTTTTTTGATGTCGTGATATAGGTCTTAAATTTCATTCACAGTGGTCTTAAAAAGGTCTTAAAAAGGTCTTAAAAAGTCTAAAGTAAATTTGACTAGGTGAAACCTGCAGAAATGTTGAATAACCACATTTGAGTCCCAAAATAAAATTGTTACAATCCAGTCCACTGTTACAGGTTAAAGTTTCTATTAAATCTGGAGCACAAATGTAATTATATTTGATTCTGCAAAACTATAATTGCTGTTTTATGCCAGGGTCTTGCATTAAATGGGATTTCCCCTTAATGGCACTGTTGTTTTTTCACCACAAGGTGGCAGTGTAACATTATTTAGGGCACTACTTACACAGTCACAGTTTCCCAGATTCCCTGTCACACAGCTGTAGTAGTAGCTTCTCCTCAGTAGAATAACATACAGTATTCTGAATGCTAATTGCACAGAGTTTGCCAGATGTGTGTTGAAAAAGAACAACCAACTGGACTTTGCAACGTGACACTAAAAGGTCACCTGTCAGTTCAACAGTGTGGTCCTGCATGAGTCAGTTGTCACCAAGAGCTTGAATGTGGTTTGAATTTAGTAAGATCAGTGTGTGTAACTCTTCTTGAGGTTGTGAATACAATCAACATGTCAATTAATTCAAATATTTCATGTTGCTGCAGAGAGTCCAAGCCAAAGAAGAGGAACCAGCAAAGGTGCAAAAGGTAAGTTTTTAAAGAAATTAAAGCAGCATTACTGGCAGTCAAATAATGCTGAACTAACTAGTAGCTGTGGTGGAGCAATGCTTTGAGAGAGGTTAATTTGCACAATGAGAAAACATGCAATGCTATGTAAATACAGAATAAACAAATTTGCATTGTACTAAGTAAGTATCTAAAGAGCAAGCTGCTGATTTCTGCATTATATTCTGAATTGTCGCCTGAATTTTATGTTTCACTTTATATTAATAATGACAATTGTGCCATAAATTGATGCAGAAAATGTTTAATGCTCAAAATGTTTTAGATATTTCATCATTAAATATTTCACCAAAATAGTGTATCGTCACACCCCTATTCAGATCACCTATGTCCCCACCACCTTTCAACACAAAGTGACGTCCTTGATTCATTTTATGTTATCAGAGTACAAACACACCCAAAAAGCTGTTTGGTGTTAAATATGAATGTGAGTATTATAACAAAATGTTTGATTAAATTCAGGTAACTTCCTAAAACTAATTTTCTCAGGCTTAAAATTCATACAGATTTTCCATTATATGGCAGTGTATATGGCATTAAATTTCATCCTAGCTGGTATTAAAAGGTCTTAAAAAGTCTTAAATTTAAGAGAGTCCTGGGGGTAACCTGCAGTACAGGTAGGTTTCCTCAGATATCAGTACAAACAAGTGATTAGTGATTAACCACGTTAGAGTATTAGAGGGAGAAGTTCTGCAGATGGCGCTGAAGGAACTGGAAACGTAACAAATAGTTTGGTAATAGAATAGTAGAGCCAAGCACCTGACCTGACCATCCAGTACTGGCATCAAGTCAAGCATATCAAACCCAACCCCCAACCAACCAACCAACCAACCATTCATTCAGTAAGCAGTGGATGGTACGCAGATTAAAGAATGCCATTGACCCCTCAGACGCCCCAGCTCAGACAGCCCTCCAAACATTCCTGACTCTTTTCAAATGCTCTTTACAGGCTGAGGGTTCGGCTCCTGCCTGCCTTTATCAGCCTTTATCTTCTAGAGAGAATTGAAGTTTTTTTAAACTAAGACATTTGTTTTTGAATGACAGGCACCTTTGTTTGCATGTCATCTCTTGATTTAAAGCACAGTCTGCTTTGCTACTGTTGGGCTCCACGTCTCTAACCCTCTTATACAAGGTTGTTTATTTATCATTATACAACACAAGGTTGTAGAACGAAAAGACAGTTTGTAATCCCTTCACTTACACATACAACTTAACAGATAATTAAGTGAAATATGGTAATGTGTAAAATAAATCAAAGCAATAAGATGTATACAGTTATTTACAGTATATACAAAGGCTATATGCAGACACGCTCCTAGACCAGAATACGAATCTGTACTAATACACATATAAGTGAATGGGTAAAAAAAGAATTGTGCTGGTGAGTCTAACAAAACTAAGGGCCCTATTTTAATGATGGAAGCGCATGGCATGAAGCGCATGGCACAGTTGCGTTTGGGGCATGAAACCGAAATTCAGAACCTCTAACAGACACAATTGTCCCATGTCGGTTATTTCGGTTATTTAGTTTTGTTAATATTGTGTGTTCGTTCATGCCACTTTGACCCACCATCCTATCACATGTGTAGTCATGTGACTACGCCCTGTCAGTCTTTCTAATTGGCCTGCTCAGCCTTCAGACCGGAGTCTAAAGCACGGGGAGAGGGTAGCTAGCTTTTTAGCTTTTATAACAGCACCTGTCACGTAGATGTCCTTTGATGAATAAGGAGAGGAAGTAAACTCATAGGGCAGGGGTCGGCAAATAAGTCTGGCATTGGGACACATTTTTTTCAAGCTGTTACATGGCGGGCCAGAACTAAATATTTCAAATCCTTGTATAGTCGTGTGCATGGTTAGCTCATACCGGTAGTGTGCAGGATCTGCATTCATAAACCTACAGACGCTTTTTCATTTCCCTGAGGATATTCAGGGGAATCCAATCACACATTTACTGACGTCTTTTTTAGAGGTTTGTCAAGCAAGCCAGAGACTCTTTTGAATGTCCTTCAGAACTTTTCAAAGTAAAAGCGCTCAATAAACTCGACCTAAAGCATTGCTGCATTGGAGCGTTGGCATTGGAGGCACAATCACTTAAAAGGAAGTGATTATGTGAGTAACTGTAGCTGTCATGACTGAGATCTGTTTCTGCATCAGTCGCTCTCTGGCCCACGGGCCGCCTATTGCCGACTTCTGTCATAGGGTCGGCAATTCGGGGGATTCCCCTGAATCTCGTGGTATAGGTCACGCCCATTTCCAAAAACAAAAAAAATAAATTAAAAAATAAAATAAAATTAATTAATTCTTCCAAAACGGCAAGTCTGATCGACACCAAACTATGCACAGACCATCTCTGGACGAAGCTAACAAAAGTTAGTGGTCCTCATGTGGATACGCAAAACAACATGCATATTATAAGCCAACAGTGTCTTTCGACGAATACTAAATATAGGAAGTCATGTTGTATCTAAGGTTTGGGAAGTCCGATGTACACCAAAGTTGGGGACCATGTTGCATGCCTTCCAGAGGGGCTGTGCAAAATATGGTGCAATTAGCCCCTAGGTGGCACTGTGTAACAGGAAATATCTGATCCTCTATAACCACAAGTCGCAATCATGTGAAACTTGGAGGAATTGTTCAGGATGGTCTCCTGACTCTAGGGACCAAAGTTGACCCTTACATGCCCCTAGGTGGCGCTGTTATTGCAGATTAAAGACGTTTGTTGAAATCCCATTGACTTACATTCATTTTATATCTCCACAACTATAAGTCCAATGATCACCAAACTTGGGACAATTGTTCACCTTGTGCCCCTGATACCTGGTCTTTAGGTGGTGCTATAATCAAAGCTGAATCAGCGTGTGAAAATCCTATTAATATCTATGCCATTTTGAACCAAATGATTTTGCCTCATAACTACCACGCATTCATAAACTTTATATCTACGTGTTTGGGGGATGATGCCAAATCGTATGGTATAGGACTAGGGGTTGAGTTGCAGTTGCTCAGGGACACAAAGGTGGATGTCATTGTGGGAATCGAACCCAGGTCTCCTATACCAAAGGCATGTGCACAAACCACTGCAACATCGCCACTCCAACACCACACCAGTCTACAGCCGTGCCAGCAGCTCTGTGAAGCAGTGATCAATGACATACCATAACCAGTTTGGTCACTGTTGATTAGTGGAGGACTAAAGAACTCCAATGTGTTGGACACTGGAGATCAAACTGAGTTTGTGAGATGAGTTTATAAAATCCATTTTAACAAAAGAAAGTAGTTTTCCAGGGCAACCGGCTCCTTGTGCGGTTGAGAGAGCAAAGAGGGAAGTGGAAGGTTTTGTACTGTATGCTCAATTTTCACCAAATTCTTAACCAGTGGCAGTGAAAGAACTGTAGTTTCTCAGACCTGTGAGTTGTGCTCAGGTTTCTGCTAATATGACCGTTATTACTTTGCGGCAAACCAAAGATTACAGATCGCTGGCGCTATAATCTTTGATTACACTGACAGGACAGCTGATTCAGTGGTTGCCTGGTAACATTAAAAAAAACGCAGCGCTTTGCTCTTTTCTAAATTCAACCAAAAAAGGTGCTGCCGTGCGCCTCGCGTTGCAAAACGCTTTCTGTCTGATCAGGGTCTGATTATTCTTTGTCGTTTTATAGCGGTTGGCATTAAACAGTGTAAAATATTTACAGTGTCCACCCAAAGTGATTCCATTCACAACTATAGTCCCTCTAGTTATTTGTAAGTTATTTTATTTCTATTTTTGTGTCTATAGCAGCATTCTCGCGACCCCCTGGGACCAGGTTAAGAACCACTGGTATAATGCATCATAGCAGCCCTTGGGCATTATGATCATAATTTAGTAGATATTGACAAATAAATGATTGTTGTTATATCAGCAACTGTTACTGTTTTTGGTAATATTTACAAACTTATTAACTTTATATTATAAACTTAACATTTTCTACCATGAAATGGTGGCACAGGACTCTGACATACGAGTACAGTACAGTAGTTACATTTTTGTTAGTACTTGTGTCAATAGAAGGAATTTTAGCAAATGATATTTACACAGCAATCCCATGCAAAATTACCTGAAAGCCCCATCTCCCCATCTCTTGACTAATGTATCAGTGCTTGATGCTTGGCCTCAGTGAATTTCAACTTTGCAGGTAACTGTTTTGTTTTACATTAAATTATTTCCAATGAGGCAGTGTTGAAAAGGTTAAAGAGAAACGTAGGTGGTAAGCATGATTCACAGAATAACAAGTCTGAGAGAAAGAGTCTAGAGGCCTGAGCTGAATCAGTTTACTGTAGTACATGATGTTTCTGACTGTGTGGGTGAGCTGCTTTGGCTTTCATCTTATGGTCCTTCAGATTTCCTACACATAACAGGCTCTGTTAGTGTATTGAGAACAAAATGTGTACTTTTTAAACCTCTGTCTTGTGTTTATGAGTTAATGAATAATCACATTCATCACATTTTTTGGATTCATGTTGAATCTCTTAAATATTGACAAAACAAAAACAGTCCAAGAGGTTTCTGCAGAAATCATGGATTTCTGATAAGACAGAGTACTGTCTTAAGATCAGTAAGGGAGGCACAAAATCTGATGTACCAAGCACTTTGTTGTCTTTTTAGTTTAATTTCTAAGCTGCAGAGAAAGGGAAGCCAACTTATTTGGAAAAGCCAGTAGAGATGCACACAAAACAAATACAATGCAACTCAATCTGAAAAGGCCAGCCAAAGTTATTCACAATTCTAAATCACCGTTGATGTTACTTGCCTATATATGTTATATATATTATATATTATTTACTTGTAATAATTGCATTTGCTTATCATTATTTTATTAGTGGACTGTATTGGCCTGGAAGCTCTGTCACCTGCCCCTAGTGATTACATAAAGACTGTATGATGGCACGAATAAGTTCGAAAGACACTTAAAAATAACTTTCAGCTTAGTCATTTACATATTTTTTGTTGTTTGTTTTTGTGTATGTGAATAATGTGTTTTCCACCAACCCTGTGTTGCTGCTGTTGTTGCAGAAGCCCGGGTTGTTGCAGCGGGTGTGTCGGCTGGCTCTTCCTTTGTGGCTGCTTCTCCTGGCTCTGCTGCTACTGGCCTTCCTGCTGCCCCTCATGGACGAAGGCAACAGCTGTTCCCTCTCCAACAACTTTGCTCGATCCTTCACCATCATGCTCCGTTACGACGGACCACCACCCACATAGGAAACCTGGACGGCACACGATAGAGTAATATCTGATGTCACTCTCTACAGCAACTTATGTCGCTATAATGGATCATGGCTTATGTGGGAAATGTTGACGTGACTACTTCAGATGTCACATTCCCCTGTTTCTCATGTAACCACATGTAAGACCACAAACAGAACCACACAACGTTACGTTCAATCTCAAGGTTCTTATTCTAAGAATATCAAAGTACTATAACCAGACCGCAGGATTTTTAACATCTGTAAACCAAACCCATTTTTGTCATCTTTGAGTGTCATGCCTTTCTAATAGTTTAAATATGTTAGTCAGCTTTTATCTAATAAAGACAAAATTCTGTTCATCTGAACTTTAAATAGCTTTACTTTAACAGTCACCAATAGACCAAAGTATATTTACAGCATTCTTGTTATAACTTACAGTATATAATGTTTCATGAAAATGTTTCTTTTGGGCTTTAAAGAACACACATACAATTGAAATGTTCTCATTATTACACAAAAACCAACAAATCTTGTTAAAATAGTAAACACTGAGACAGCAACATTATCATTATCCATCCATCCATCTATCATCATCGATATATGCTTATCCTGCACTGGGTCACTGGCGGGCTGGAGCCTATACCTGCTCACACTTACCTTTTATAAAAGTATTTTGTAAGAACAAGAAGGGATAAACTGATATGTTAAAACATCATAATAATAATAATTTGGTAAATGGTAATAATGAGAAATTATATTTTATACTATTCTACTACTAGTAGTAGTATAACCTGAAAGCAGTTTTTTTTATCATATCAGGCCTAAACTCCATTTGGTAGGGACTAAACATAAAAATCATCATTTTCACACATCTAAAACTTTCAGAGACACAATTTGAAACCTGTTTAATTACTAACCTGTTAATTGGCTTGGTGAGATTACTCAAGTGCTAAGGAAAACTGAAATGTGTCTACGGATATGAATGTGGAACATGTACCAGAAGATCCAAACCAAAGACTATTGTAACAGTACTGGACATGATACTGAAGCTAACATTGCATTTCTGTCGACTTCTGGACTCATAACTCCTGTTAGATTTCCTCTCCCTGAGGGAAAGCAAAACTTCAGCTAATGCTGTGCTAATGGTACCGTATGTAGCAGTGGTAAATAGCTTGTGTGCAAAAAACAAATATACAGTATATGTTATGTTTCATCTCTGTAAAGATTAAATTGTGTTTTCTTAGTGTTATTAAGTCAGCCATAACTGCTGTGCAGGTTCATACTGAGAGCAGCCTGGCTAATGCTAACCCTTGCGTTGTGACCTTTTTATATACAGTCTATGGTTGTGACTGGGAGCAGTGTGAGAGCGTCTGCGGTTAGAAAGACCTCAACAGAGAAATGCTACTCTTCACTAGCGACATGTCATCTCATTCTGTCATCAGTCTTACGGACTTAAAAACTATCAAACTGAAACATGTAGCAGGGGTTTACTGTATACCTTCTACATTATGGTAAAGAAGTAGCTCATTCAGCACTTGCTGTCTATGATTTTGTTGGCATTTTTAAAACTGCAGTTCCCATGACCTTCTTCCAGCATGGCAGCACCCATATCATACACCACAGTAACTGTTTCTCCCTCATCCATTATCTATACCTGAGCACTCCTCTAATGCTGTCTTTAACACTTTTTAGCTGTACATAAAATGTATAATCTGTGTAGTCCATTGTGTCTATTTTCATATATCCCCATTTGACTCTTCAGTCTGTCAAGCAGGTGATGCTGTGGGACAGTGTTTTTTTGAAGGCAGAAACAATATTACATTGGGGTGGTTGTTTTTTTTTTTCATTTATTTACCAGCTCTGTCTTTACAAATGTAATGACCTGTACGACATACTGTTGAGCAGAGTAATGGCTGTATTTTTTGTGATATGCATTACAAAATGTCACTTTGAACACTCTTTTCTTACTTCAGGAACAGAACACAGAAGGTGTGGTTTCACTTCGGCTCTTCAGGTTGTAGGAATGCAGCAGATTTCCAGTAAATAAATCCAGACAGATGGCACAGAGAGAGAGCTGGACAGGAATTATCTTATAAATTAAATTTGAAATATAACTAAACCCGAACCAAGCTTGAAGCTTAACTCAACTAAATAGCCCATCCTTCGTTGGAACCTGTTGGGTGTTGTTGAACAGTGGTTGATCATGTTGCTGACAGTGCGAACACACAGATGTGGATGACTGATTCATTAACAGTTTAGTGGACTGTTGTCCAATGAAGGGGTGAGTGTGCAGTCTACTCATGTAGCTGTCCTCCTTCACACTCTTCACTACTTAAATAGTTTGACACATTACCTCATGGAAACCACCATCCACTGCTCTGAATTTTAATCGAGACATACATTTTCAGTGCTTGCTTAATATTTGCAGAATGAACCTTAAAAAACAACAGAAATCTTCCTGATTCTGGCTGTAGATTGTTAGACAGTACATCCTGGAAGTTCTTGTGTGTTCCAGGCTTTAGATTTTTAAACTTTAATTTTTAGCACTGACTGATTTGCTGCTGTTGATGCAGCAATAAAGAGGTGTCCATGATTTCAATACTGAATGTGTGTCAGTTTGCTTAAAGCAGTTTTCCTTTGTTCCTTCTGTGTACCCTTTTTTTTAAAATTGTACAACCATCTCATGAGAGCTGTTACTTTGTATTTTCTGGAGTGCTATTTTGGCTTTAACACGTGTCATTTTCACAGTCAAAACCCTCAGTGAGAACATTTAGAAAGCCTTCTCCTGTGGCCACTTACATATTTTTGGACCACTGTGTGTTCATGTTGCCAATGCCCGAGCTGTAAACCTTGGCAATCACCTTTTTTGTACAAACCCAAAATAACTTTTATCCTGCGTTCTCTCTTTTCACACCACGCACACCCCTAAAAATACACCAACACCTCCACACACCCTCACATATGCAGTTACTTTCCCTTTTTTGGCTGAGTTTGTGTGTATTATCGAGTTATGTTACCATGGCAACAGTGACCTAATCAAGTTAATCTATTACGTTGTCTTTAACAGCAACCAGAGTCTCTGCTGCAGCTTCACACGTCCTCCAGCATGTTTGTAATTCAATGTTAAGTTCAGCTTTTGTTTGGGAATGAAAGAGCCGGGGTGAGGAGACTTGAGGATCTGAAATATATAAGATATTTCCGCATCACTAAATCATCACCATGGCAGTAGACAGCCTAAACCACCATTAAAAACAATTAGCTCCCTTATAACACCAAAATATAAATAAAACCCTCACTGCCATTGTTTTTTTTAATTGCCATAAGAGAAGTGTTGTGATTTTATCTTACAGCCCAGAACAGGAAGAGGACTTTGTCTTTTCTGCATTAAAAACAGAGCTTATTGCTTTTGCTGTGTCATATATGATCCTTTAGATACAGCTGCAAAATGCTGTTTGAGTCTGTCACTGTTTCTAAAGTTAATTTGATCAAATGTGACCTAACACATTCAATTTATTTCCTAGTAGCACACGTAGCCAAGTTGCATTGTAGAATTGGGATTTTACGGCACCCGGAATGTAAAGACAAAAAAAAGTTACTTATTTTAATGATTTCTAATGTGTAAATATGCTACATGTAGCATTACATATTGCTGAAGACATATAGGTATTGTGGCCTTAAAGCTTTAAAGTTTAGTATTTTACAACCTGGACCCTATTTTCTCATGTTTTGTGTTTGAGTAAGCACTCTGCATTCAGCAGCAGTGAAACAGGGCTCCTAATCCTTGCAGGCAATTGCGCCCCATCAAGAGATCCTTTTTGTTTAACAAGAAACAGTCAATATATAGCACTCGTCAAAGCCACCAGACTCCCTTGACAAAAAGTCTGGTTTACCGCTGACTCGATCGGTTAGTTTGTGTTATTGTGTGAGTCTGCACATTTGTGTGGAAGTACTTTTACGGGGTGCAGTTGTCCACAAGTATTACTTTGCAGCCCTGACTCTCTGAAGCGCACTCTCTTAATACTGGATCAATTTCAATAACTGTTGTTTCAATTAGTCACATAGACACAACAAACATGGGAAAATAAGGTTGGAAAATACTTAAGTTACCCTTTAGGTATACCATGCAATTAATCAGCTGTACCAAGTGCCATTACCACATGTATTTATTCACCACGTAGCTTTAGAAAGCACTCACAGCCAATGTACTGTATAACAGCTGTATAACTAAGTTAAATATAAGGTTTAGTCTTGTCAAGCGTGTTAATGCTGCATTCTATACTGAATCACCAATTATGCTCCATGTTACTGCTTCTGATTGAACTATGTCTATTATGTATGTGTCCCGGTAATGAAGCCTATGCAATGACTGGCCCTACATCATTGTGTCCATTTATCTTATGCAACGTATGAAATTACTTGAATCCCCTGAGCACAACTGGTTCTTTAGCTACACAGTATGTGTGACAAAGCTGTCAGAATAGAACCGTATACTTGTTATGCAAAAAATGTCCAGTATTCCAGTGTCTGCTCTCAGATCGAGGGACTTATTATGAAAATGCACAGGTAATGATTGACGAGAGAGCTTTTATGTGAAATGACACAATTCTATTTCATTAATATTTAAACAGTAGAACTGCTTCATATTATTCAAGAGAGCTATGTATGATGAAATAAAATGCAATTTAAATATTCTGAGCTGGAATCTGTTGTTTGTATGTGTTTTTGTTTGGAGAGACCAAAGTTTTGAGAGACGAACTAACACATTGTTGGTTTTGGTCTTTTTCTGGGATATACTTATGATAAGAGAAATGGAGGATAATACCAGCTTTATAATTTAAAACCAACATACAATATACTGTATACTGTTTCTGGACACAGAAATTGACATTATACAATGACACACTGAGTGGTGTCTGTTGAATGATGCTTTTGCATGGCCCAGTTAAATCAAATTGTTAGACCGCTGGTGATTTAATGTATGCTCCTTGTTGCTTTTATTCAGGTGAAGTGGAACAATATTACGACCATCCTGGCACTGAAACTCACCTCTGAAGACCAATTCAAAGATATTGTTTTAGAATGATAAGCACCTGCTTGGGTCATATGGTCAATATTTATTGCCCTTATATAAGCTGATATATCATTCTAACCCCAGTTTACTGTAGAAAGCTGTGATTTCCTGTATGTGTTATTTGATGTATTGTACTACCTCCTGCTACTACAGTCCACTTTCTCCAGAGACATCATTATTTTGTTGTTTTCATCATCTAGTCTGTTTGTATGAATGTTGTCACTGCTGCAACTGTGTTGCTGAGTGTTTGTGCTTTCATTTCATGTGTGTGCTGCCTCCTACGCTGTTCTCACCTCGCCCTCCCAGCCAGGCCTACCAAGCTGTGCTGCAATCTGGAGCTCACATACTGCAAAATACCAGAGCAGCCTCTCTCCCAAAGCAGAGCCCAGTCCTCATCAATGTAGTATTTTAACCAACAGATACAACCAAACCACTTCCTCTCTGGAACTACTTTTCTCTTGTTGTTAATGGTAATCCAGGCAAAAATTATATCATAAGCAATGAAATGATCGGTATCACCACTGATTTTTACAGTCTGGCTGTGTACTATTAGTCATGAACATTAGGAGATTCTTAGATAAACATACCTGTGTGAATTAGTTGCTCTGACCAAATCTAATTAGAATCAGTTTTATTCTCCAGGTATGTGTACACATACGAGGAAGTTGACTTTGGATTGTACATTGCTCACTCATACAATAATACAATAACACAATACATAACACAAATATACACATGATAAACAGAAATATAAACAATATAGACATATTGACAAACAGTGCAGTGAGCAGAGTGCAAAGGATGCAGGAGTAATTTTCATTAATTATGTACATGTCAGAGGTGGATGTGATATACATGTACACAGTGCGATGGAGCATAGTGCAATGGATGCTGGAATAAATAAGTACAGTAAGTATTTTGTGCAAGCGTGAACTTGAGGTAGGTGGGTGCACAGGAATTATTCCTGACTGTGAGTCAGAGACCAGCTGTTCAGAGTGATGGCTTGTGGGAAGAAATCTGTTGGTTTTGGCGTACAGTGCTCTGTGGGTAGAACAGGTTGTGTCTGGGGTGAGATGGATCTGCAGTGATGTTTCCTGACTCTGGAAATGTATAAGTCCTGAATGGAGGGCAGGTTGGCACCAATGATTTTTTCTGCAGTCCTGACTGTCCGTTGTAGTCTGCTCCTGTCCTTTTTGGTGGCAGATCCAAACCAGACAGTGATGGACGTGCAGAGGACAGACTGGATGACGGCTGTGTAGAAGTGGATCCCCGGAACCTGAAGGATTCCACAGCAGACACAGGACTGTTGAGTATGGTGATGGGGGGCAGAGTGGGGGGGGCTCCTCCTGAAGTCCTCGATCATCTCCACAGTTTTGAGCGTGTTAAGCTCCAGGTTGTTCTGGCCGCACCAGAGAGCCAGCTGATCAGCCTCCAGTCTGTAGGCTGACTCATCACCGTCCCGGATGAGGCCATTGACCGTTGTGTCGTCAGCGAACTTCAGGAGTTTGACAGATGGGTCTCCTGAGGTGCAGAGGGAGAAGAGCAGTGGGGAGAGCACACACCCCTGGGGGGGCGCCAGTGCTAATAGTCCGGATGCTGGATGTGATGTTCCCCAGCCTCACCTGCTGACTCCTGACAGTCAGGAAGTCTGTGATCCACTGACAGGTGGAGGCTGGCACAGTGAGCTGGGTGAGTTTGGTGCTGAGGATTTCTGAGATGATGGTGTTGAACGCTGAGCTGAAGTCCATGAACAGGATCCTTGCATGAGTCCCTGGAGAGTCGAGGTGTTGCAGGATCATCCAATAACCTGTTAGCCCTGTAGGCAAACTGCAGGGGGTCCAGCAAGGGGCCTGTAATGTCCTTCAGGTGGCCCAACACCAGTCTTTCAAAGGACTTCATGACTACAGATGTCAGGGCGACAGGACTGTAGTCATTTAATCCAGAGATGGAGGGTTTTTTGGGGACCGGGATGACTGTGGAGCGTTTGAAGCAGGAGGGAACTTCACACAGATCTTCAACAGATCACTGAAGCTGAAGGCCTGGTTTTTCAGGACTCTGTTCCCACTTCTGAACCTCCTCTTTGGTCTGACGAAGCTGCCTGAGTTTTGCTGTGAACCAGGGTTTTTGGTTGTTGAATGTCTGGAAGGTTTTAGTCTGCACACACGTCCCCACAGAAGCTGATGTAAGATGTCACAGTGTCGGTTAGTTCGTCCAGGTCAGTGGCTGCAGCCTCAAAAACACTCCAGTCAGTGCAGTCAAAGCAGGCCTGTAACTCCAGCTTTGACTCGTTGGTCCATCTTTTCACAGTCTTTAAAACAGGTTTAGCAGATTTCAGTTGCTGCCTGTAAGTCGTGATAAGATGAACCAGACAGTGATCAGAGAGGCTGCATGTGGGAACAGAGCGATAGGCGTCCTTTAATGTTGTGCAGCAGTGGTCCAGTGTGTTCGTGTCCCTGGTGGGACACTTAATATGCTGTCTGTAATTTGGAAGTTCATGGCTGAGGTTTTCTCTGTTGAAGTCTCCAAGAATAATGAGCAGGGAGTCTGGATGTTTTTTCTCCTGCGGTGAATAAAAAGATTTACAGTTTATAAATAGTCTCTAAGTGAGGGTTGCATGATTTCTTCAACACTGACATCTGTACACCAACCTTCGTTTATTTAGAAAACAGAGTCCGCCTCCCCTTGTTTTTCCCGTGAGCTCCCTTTCGCGGTCCGCGCGGGTAAGATTAAATCCTGGCAGGTAAAGTGCGCTCTCTCACTCTTATCTTCATCCCCACACTTTAGAATACATGCAGGTGGGGTGTCACACTGCATTTTTAAACATACACATTGACTTCATGAACATTGCAGAATGCATGAACAAAAATTGTCATTATCTTCACCATTTAGGTCACACACGTCAGATTCAGCCAGTTAACTAGCAAGAGAAACAGTAAAATTCACTCACCAGAAAGGTTCAGTGTTAATCCTACTCTAATAGTTAGTAGAAAAACTCTCCTCACACCCTCCAGGATTCTCATCCACTTTGCATAGACAAATGACATAGTAATTGAACAGGTAGCGTTTTTAATGACAAATTTTACAATACAGTCTCTCTTGAATTTGCGCAGCTAACAGGCTACTGCTAGCACGGCTGGGTGGCTTAAACAGGGGGTGAGTTCAGCACCGATAAAACATAGCAAACTGTTTTTTTTCAACGGAAATGGTGGTGCCTTCTTAAGGCCAAGAACTCTGGACAGCGTGATGGACACTCCGCAAACATGAATATTAATTTGACTTACTTTTATTTATTTTGGTTTTCTACAGACTTACACTTACAGGGTAGTAACGTGGGTTACACTGATTGCAGTAATCAAGCATGCCAGTGATAAAAGCTTGCATTAGTTTCACAGTATCTGCCTCGGAGGAGAAACAGTTGCAATATTTCTAAGGTGCAGTTTTAGTGAGATTGCTGTTGTGAGATTCAATATCTAAAACATGTGTAGATGCACACCAAGACTTTTTACTTTTTGTTCAGTTGCAAAAACCGATGTGACATCCACAAGTTGTTGCTATGAGATGAGTGATAAAGAGATGTACAGTTGTCTGTGAGACTGAACAAGATACCATAGGTCTCAGAATTCAGCCTTGAGAAACCCCACATGTTATGTTTGTGGCAGGTAAGTCCTAAACCAATGTAAAACTGAGCCAGAGAGCCAACACAATGTATCAATACAGCGTTTCATCCATCCAGCCATCGTCAACCGCTTATCCTGCGTACAGGGTCGCAGGGGCATTTTAGCCTTAGATGCGTTTGATTTGTCACTTAGCGTGATTCCCTGGGCGGTTCCTTAAATTAGTGATTAATTAAGGTAGATGCAACCTTTCCATCGCAGGGCCACGCACAGACAAACAACTAGTCACACTCACACCTAAGGACAATTTAGAGTTACCATTTACCTAACCTGCATGTCTTTGGATGGTGGGAGGAAGCCGGAGCACCCGGAGAGAACCCACGCATGGAACGACAAAGGTTCGAACCCACAACATCAGCTAAATAAGTAAATAAAAATGTAAAAGATTCCACAGGGTCACAAACGGTGCCGCAGAGTGTCTCACCATGAACTCACTACATGGTTCTAGCATCACATTTACACCCTAGTTTCAACCTGCACACAATATATTGCATATATTTATTTGATTTGATATATGTAATATATATCAAATCAAAGAGTCCAGACTATGGCGATTGTTCCATTTTATATTCTCATATCGTGGGGTGTATTAAACGCCTCTTGGCGATGTAAGGCTCTTTGTCCAAGCTAATGCAGGCCACACAGGCTCAGGATACCAACTGAGCTGGTGCTGATTTAAAAGTGAAATGAGTAGCCTGAGAAACAAGGTCATCTACAGTATGCAAATTTAACAGAGGTTATATGAAAAGAGAGGACTTAGGTCACAACAACAATTGTTTTACATCATACACTGAGCATGGTTTTACTATTCCTGCTAGTTGTAAATAAGGAAAACACTATATTATTTTTATATGATTGTTTTCTTAGATTTTCAAGCTAGTCAAACCCATCCACCCATACTGCCATTTACATACAACACAACCACTTGGTAACGGACCGGTTTTTGCTGTTGTAGCT